GCTCATCTGGTGTGGACGTTACTTGACCCTCATCACTGCTGCAGACCTGGAAGTTTTTACTTGCTGACATTTAAATTGAATCCTTTACATGAATTACATTGTTGTTGCTGTATTATAATGCTTACCAAAACTAATAATTGAAAACCTAGCAATCAACTGACTTAAAAATGACTATATCATGGACAAAGATGTACATTTAAAGAAACACTCTTGTATTACCGTTTTGGTATATAACTATAAGTAATTTTGCAACTACATGTCGACTCTCAGTCATTAGAGTATCAGTAGACTGTCTGCTTAATATCTGCAAATACTTGGTCCCCCAAAAGACATTAAGTAACTTGCCAACTACAAGTCAACTTATTCTCCTAACCCGAACCCTAACACCAAACCATTACTTACCAGTGTACTACAGCCTACTAATACTCTAATGAGAGTTAGTTGACATGTAGTTAAAAGGTTACTTATAGTTGGAGGAATGTCTAAAGTGGACTATCGAAATAAAGTGTGACCAAAGTTTTTATGCATGCATACTATATGACTACAAGTATGGCTTTGCACTGTGAAATGTCAATGCCCCCGCTGTCTTTTTTACAGAAGTCATTCCTCCTGCTCTACACTGACATTTAGTGCAGACATCTGTCATCCGTTCTCCTAAAAATGGGACAGAGCTACTCTAGCACTGGTATGCACAGCATAACCTATCAAATGTGCTCCTACAGACAGGTCAGCCTGGCCAAAAACACCAGCAAAAAAACTATTTCTGGAACAAAGCCTGTTTCATCCAAACGTCCCAACTCTATGCCTGTCCTGCATTAGAAACGATCAAATCTTCACCGGACACCAGACATTCTCTTCCTACTTGGCAACTATTCATTTGCAGTTTTGTCCAAATCAATTAAAACATCCCATTGCCTAAATTATTACGTGATTACAGCAGGGGCATGTAACCTTCATTATGAGTACATTCACTCCTCTTCAGCCACTCAGAAGAGCTCTGGATGAAACTGCATGTTAGACGAAATTTAATAACTCAGGACGGCACGGTTTCATTATTCTTAATCACCTCTGTTCCATCTTGTTCATGTAATTTTTCATTTCAGCATTCAGTTTGCAGTCATCGGTCCGAACAGCGGGGAAGGTTTTTTTTTTCAATAAGATAAATCATAAAACACGAGGGCGGACGAGGGCAATGCCCATAGCCAGACCTGTTTGTGTTGCTCACTGGAGAGCAGAGATAAAACCGTTTAATTGCACTTTTTGCTATCTTCCCTCCCACAGTCTAATTTCTAGCTATAAGAAACCAGGCTGTTGATATATCATTCTCCAAAAAGGCAAGATAAATATTTCATCTGCAAAAACAACAGATGCCTTGTTTTCTAAAGACTGATCTGTTGTATCATCAGACAGAGCACTAATCACAGAGAGGCTGCTGCAACCTCAATGAAAAATTAAGAGTTGTGGGACATTTCTGGAATTTGACACGACAGAACCGATAATCACCTGCACAAATGCAATCCTACCCACAGATTTAGAAGACAAAAGCATAAGTGACTCTACCCGTGTAATGTTCCACTGCGGTAAATGCAAAACACCATTATCAAGCCCTCCGGCATCAGACGACAGTCCTCTAATGCATCTGCTCGACATAATCACTTAACATCAGGTCGAAACACGCCATACCATCACTGTGATGAATCAAATCAGAGACATGGAACACATTTCTCCCTCCACTAAACATGAGCTAGGATACATTTTTCAGATCTGCCATACTAAGTCTTGATCTGAAATCGTCATACCACTATGTCACACTATGTGGTTTCACAAGGCCAATTTGTCTTTTGAAGAAAAAGGCCAAACCATCCTCTGCTCTGGAATGTGGTAGGTTTGAGCAGGCCAAGTCTACTATATAAAGTCAAATCAGACGTTTGGCCAGATACAAGACAGGCCAACAACACTACACAAAAGCAATGAGAATGCTGGAGATTTTACTGAAAAGAAATGTGGGTAAAATAACTTGTAAATTACTCATTTGCGGGTGAGTAAATTATGACAAATTTGTTATTTTTTGGTGAACTATCCCTTGAAGTTATGCAATATATATATTGTTGTACATAGACACAGACAGACGCATACAACATAAGGTTGGGGGGGGGGGGCATGCAATTTTTAGCAATCAAAAAGCATGTCTAATTAATTGAAATCATGTATTATGAACATTTAAGAAAAAAATATGTATATATAAATAATATATATATGCATAAAAATTGTGTTTTTGCTGGTAATAAAATGAAGCCATAAAACAAAAATGTTATAATTTATCATAAACTTTTTGTACGCTTTACTGTTAAAATTAAACATGGATTATTCCTTAAATGAAGTTTTGTTTAAAAAATTTAAAATTTATTTTGATTAGTGTTAGTGTATTATTATTACATTAGGAAATATCTACATTCTACTGTCCAACAGTAAAATATTTATCCTGTCAAGTTAAACCGAACTTTTATTTTGGCGGGTTGCCGCGAAGACCTTTTGAGTTTCTGTGTGTTTATGTCATGATGATAGTTTCTCAAATGAAGCGGTTAAATTATCACAAAGTGACTTTCAGAGTGGATCTAGAGCCTGGAGAGGAAGTTCATGCATTTCTGTCTTCATATGGACCATTTCACAAGATGTAAACAACACTGGTCCAGAAGCACTTCCTGTTTCAGTTTTTCAACAATACATAAAAGCTGGGATAAAATACAACCAACAGAACATTTAAAACTGAATCAAAAAGTTAAACAAACATCTTTAAGATGTTTTCTTTACATGTGAATAAAGAAAACAGTTACAAACTGAAACAGGAAGTGTTTCTGGACCAGTGTTGTTTACATCTTGTGAAATGGTCTATAGGCAAAAAACAGCACAAGTGTGTGTGTGTGTGTGTGATAAATGAAACTGCGTGTCGGCTGCACCATTCATCACACACTATTCAAGGCAAACAGGATTCGTATTTAAATAGTCTTTGTGGTTTAATAATATTCACACACACTAGTCTACATCGCGATTTGATTTCAAGTGTACTGAACCGCTTTCTATTTATTCCTCGAAAATATACAGTAAATTCCTTTTTTATGACTGAATTTCGTCAGCATTTTAGGGGGGGCAGGCTGCAGTATATATATATATATATATATATATATATATATCACAGACAGGCTGCAGTATTAATCTTGTGTGAAAAGATTGTTTTATCAATAAAATTAAACACTAATTTCGCATATTGTCTTTCAATAATTCATGCATTTTTCAAGTACCTTTTCATAAATATTGCTGTTTTCAAGGGTTTTCCAGGACTTAAATTTCAAAAAGCAAAATTCAAGTACTTTAAGCACCTCTAACAAACACCGAAAAGAGAGAGAGAGAGAGAGAGAGAGAGAGAGAGATTTCATGGCATGATTGCCTAAGTACGATACATTTTGTTGAGAGATAAAATAATCGCATGATGCATGAGGTTAAGCACTAATTGGATGATTTTAAGCAGATTTCCATGCACTGCACTTCAACACAAGAGACCGTTTCAGAGCTGAAACTAAAACTAAAATATTGCAAACAGCAACTGTGCAAATATCCGGGCAGATGACAATGAGACGTTCTCTAGGATTTTCATGGAAACGTTGCGCTGAAGGAACTCAAAGGCAAGCACTCTGATTTGTGTTGAGCACTGCTGCTTTTTAGATATATTCTCTTGTTTGATCTCTCAGCCAAAATCAGTGTAGTGGAGAACATTTGCATAATGGCAGTTATAAACACGTCCTCTGCTTTCAACTCATGTCTTTCAATAGGACATCAGGACAAAATGCGTTCAAATGAGAGGAATGCAGCTTCTTCGGTTACGATCATACAAACGGAAGTTGCACTTCATAATGGCAATACGGGACCACCATTCGCATGCCTCTGAACGCAATGGAAAAGCACAGAAAAATCCCTGTTAGTTAAATTTTTGTCTCAATCTCGAGCTTCGACCTTGTCACATGATTGGTGCCGAAATGAGGCGCACGTCATCTAGGCTCTTTCTTGATCAAGACAAAAAAAGAAGAAAACACATTTTCAGAAGCAATTATTTTTCTGGAGTGCCTCCTCAAACTTTTCAATCATTTTAAATTAAAAGATAAAAGCTTTTTTGAGAGTACTTGAGGGAAGAAACAAACAGATAATCTGAACCTGTGGAGTGCAGCTCTGCAGTGAGCCGAATGCTAATGGTGCAGGCCCATCTGCCCCATCACGCATTATTGGATTTAATTCTTTAGATGAATATAGCTTTGGGTCGCTGAAATCATAACTCGTTTATTTCCATACATCAATTAGGACAGAAACAAAAGATATCAACCTTCCTGATTATCAATGTCAATTCTGCCCACTAAAATAGAATAAATGCACTACAGGCACTACGCCATTGGCCAATCATTCTTATGAATTTCTTCATTTCAACATGTAGGTGTTTGAGTAGCAAATTTTCCGAAACCTAGTCCCTAAAACCCCTTTAAAACTCTGATTCTAAAATCTGCCACGATGAAATGAAGAAAGGCAGGAGAACTAGTGGAAGTATAGTATCTCTCTCCTTGATACGCAGACATCTGCCGTGCTTATTGTTCAGTTTGCTCTAAACTGCATTAGATAACTCCTGTCAGAGCTAATTGGCTCATAAGGGCCCCTAATTAGGAAGATGGGCATGTTTGTAAGCAGTGGATTCTGCAGAACTGTTTCATGTGGCAGACAAGGCTTGATACGCATGTCTAAAGCGCGACTAATCACATTCCATAAGGAAAATCCACAAAACGGAAAACAGACTTACCATAGTGTGAAGTGATTCCATAAACCGATATATCAAACAAAACAGTAAATCAGCAGACATTTGGCAATTTTTGAAATTTCAAGGAATTTGACACAAAGACCAGATATACGTTTATGTTCTTGTAATGAGAAGCGCTTTATGTCTCTTCTGTTTTGTGACATACCTCTCGTCGCCTGGAGGCCCAGCAGGTCTGTTTGATCTTCCACACCACCGCAGCTACCAGCAAAAGGGACAGAAAACAGCTGTAGGGTGCAGAAATGAAGGGATGGAAAGATTAAACGTGATGCAGACATTTCAGAGAGATATCATTACATCATTAGGGATTGGGCAGTATGACGATAACTGGAGAATAATCTGATATTCTGAGTAGATCTGCAATATCTGTGCAAATATCAGGGTTTTATTCAATTAGAATTAAACTCTGAAACTACTTGTTAGTTTTACTGTTTTGAGATTTTTGAGATTGACCATTTATTTGTTATGAATTATCTTTTAGTTTGCATCCATCAAGTTCGAAATATTTTTTTTTAAAGTAACGATTATTTTGAAAAAAAAAAAAAAAAAAAAAAAAAAAACGATATCTTGGTATAATGTTACAGTGATTAAATTATTCATACTGTGTGATATTTGGGTCATAGGGCCCATCCCTACTAATCACTAACATTTGGCATTAAAAAAAAAATACTTCTCATCTCATGCGTCTTCTTAAGTAAGTTTTAGAAACTTTGCACTATGAGTACTATAAGAATGTCCCAGTGACAGATTTATACTTATACCATTCACCATTATCACTGAATAAAACCAAAAAATAAAAAAATAAATAAAAAACTGTGAAACTATTGTTTAGACATTTAAAAAATATATGATTTAGTAAGAACAATCTTAATTTGCTTATCAAGATTAATTCGACAATTGAATTGCCATGGCTTATTTGGGGTTGTGGGTGCTGGGAAACAAAGCATTTAAATGTGTTAACGTGGTGGGATTTATTTCATTGAGATACCTCAGTGATAGATATATGATTTAAGTTTTTCCTACTGGCTACTTCCTTCCATATGGATGTAGTTTGGTTTTTGTAATATTCCATATTGTAGCCACCAATTATGGGTCTCTAGAACATGACAGTTGTGTTGACAAATGTCTTGACTAACACAAAAAATGTTGGCAGTATTTTATACAATTGCTTTGTCACACATTGTTAAAGGTTTTACAGATCATCTAGACTGAATTTCTCAGATAATCCCATTTTAAAAGATGAAAGTAAATGGACAAAACACCATGCACTGATAAATGTCAGCATCTCTGAAACTCGCAGAAGGCTTTCCAGTGGTCAAGCTGAGAAATTTTCTCATCCCAGTCAAGTGCTAGCATCTGGTGATGTGCATCAAAAGACTAATCTTATAACCGGGCAGACACCAGAGTCGTGAATTGTAGGGAAATTGCTTTTGCTTACTGTATCCACGGATATATGTGAGCATTCATAAACATCTCTGTGTGAAATTAATTCAGTTTGCATAGATGAAAAAAGCTGTGGAGAAAAAAAAATGTAATCCTTCTAATGCTTTCAAAAGCACACCATCTTAGGTTTGTTTGAAGATAATGGCAAATTGGACACAAACGGGGAAGAGACAAACTTGAATGGCTCGATTAAGTAGCAGTGCGGGAGAAATCCCCCTTTAGATCGAAGCCTTTCATCCGGTACATTGCAGGCAGTAAACATGACTTAATCCCCTCTGCGGTTCCACCTGGAAACCAAATTAATACGAAAAATAAAGCAATTAAAGGTCCTCGCCCCTTATGTGGAGGTACATGTGGCAGTTGAGTAAATATGCGAGTAAATTAAGAAGGTATCCAGGGACCAACAAAAGCAGAGGATGGTATGAAAGGTCTGGGACAAGCAATGGGAGAAAGAATTAAAAAGCCGCCTGCTAAACAATGATAAGCAGTCTTGTATTGAACCCTTTTCAGGAGTCACTTCAGGAAACCTTTCCAGGTTTTAGGGCAAAATGCAGGTGTGATTTACAATATCTGAATAGATTTTTCTTCTGGCGCAGTCCACATGTTCTGCAACACTGCAATTAGACTAGAAAATACAAAAACAAAATCAGCTAACAGAAAAATAACATAGGTGATACAAACTATGTAATGAAGGTGACACTCAGTCCCCTTAGGGAGTTTTGCTTTGGTCTCAAAGCACCACTGACATCATCAAGACCAAACAAGGCAAAAATCACAGTTTCACCCCCTGATGATTTCATTTTCTGCCATTTAAGCACCCACTTTTAGCCTTCCTGGCATCCTTGACCGTCTCATTACGGCGAGAGGGGGATCTAGAGGACGATCGAACGACATGACACCGATGTTTAGTTCAACTTCGTCGTCAAATCACTCTGCGTTACAGTTTGCTGATTCACTGAGCTTCCTGTAAATGAGCAAATGTCTGGGAAATGAAATCATTTGAAGTGATTGAACATTTTTGGTGATTTCGCAGATGCCCATATCATCTGAAGGCAGCAATCTAAGCACAGAATGGATAAAAAAGAGACAGCTACAGCAAAGCTGAGAGAGGAATTACTCATGTCCTACCCTGAAGACTGAACAGCATGTGCTAGATGTTAAATAAAAGCAAATGGATGGCATGAATTGAACCAAATGCATTATCTTCCATTTAACAAAAAGACTGTTAAAAAGCCATTCACAGGGTGGAAATGCATTTCCCTATTGCTCATGTTAACTACTCTAATTTCAGGTCACACACTGACAGGTTCTTAATCAACAATACATTTTCAACACACCCCTGCAGAGCCCTTTTACAGAGAGGGTCTTTTTTTATTGTAATAACTAGAAAGATAAAATTATCAGCAATGTCTAGATACACCAGGTTTGTACGTTAGGCATCTCTCTAGCTGCACTGGAAATGGAACAGAATTTGCCTGAGGCTAGTCTTGATTCCAGTGGTCATGAGTATTATCTCACTCTGTGGAAATAAAGTAGAAATCACACTGATAAAATCAGGGAAATGCTCATTGGAGGAAGCACTTGATTAACCCTTTGATGCGCAAGCTATGGATACCCCTTCTAATGCGCAACATGGGTCTAAAAAGACCCGTATTCATTTCCTATGGTATTTCAGTGATGGCTGAGTGTTTTCTTTGCTAATCTTTAAAATATATGTATTTTATCATTTGTTATTCCAGGTTTTCATTAAATATCTTGTTTTTGATTTCCACAAATCATTGGGTTTATGTTTCCTTTCTTACTTTATAAACAAACACAGTTTTTGTATTTCTACATCAATTTTACATACATGGGTCTAAAAAGACCCGTATTCATTTCCTATGTTATTTAATGCATGGCTGGACTTTTCTTTTCTTTTTATCTTTTGAGATCAATTTATTTAAGCATTTAATATTCCATTATCTATAAATTTCATGATTTATAAATATTTAAAAAATATTTTTTTCAATTACCAAAAATATTTTTTTTTTTCATTTTTTTTCTAGGTTTTGTGTTACTATATCAAATGTACTTATCAAGCATAATAAAACAAAAGAATAAAGACAACTTTTTGTTAAATTAATCATCTTAGAAGTAATTTAGACAACACATTTAACACTTGAAATGTTTATTTGCCACTTTGTCTCGCATAGCATTCACATGTCACAGATAACTGATAACTGATAACACTGAAATTGAACTGTGGTGTAGTGTAACTGTATTGAATTGTGGTGAATGTGATCAAAGAAAAGAAAACAGAAAAAATAAAATCACACTGGTACAGCGGCATCTCAAGTTGCCATCTTAGTGCTTACATGCCTCACAAATGACAACTACATGTTTGTGCTCCTTGCACACAGGCCTGGTGCTCTGGGAACACCAGCTGCTGAATTGTCTGTCTTTAGCAGAGCTGGGCATCATTTCAATCATAGAATGATTTCAGTATAAGAATCATTTCAGCATATGAATGATTATGAACTGTTAGGCCTACTAAATGTAAATAAGCTTTAAAAAACAATCTTTTTTTTAGTGTATAGTTAACATTAGCTAGCTAGAATATGTCAACAGCTAGCTAGCTAATAGTATTGGACATGTTTCTCCTCACAAGTAATTTCTCACTAGGTTTACAAGGTCAAGGTAACCATAGCCTAATATTGAGATATTATGTTGTAATCTTTTACAATATATAAAAAAATGTTTGTGGTTAAAATAAAATAAGATTAATAATAATTTTTGACCCATGTATGTAAAATTGATGTAGAAATAAATAAATAAAAAACCTAACATAATGATTTGTGGAAATTAAAAACAAGATATTTAATGAATACCTGAAATAAGAAATGATTAAAAAACATATTTTAAATTAAAGATTCAGCAAAGAAACACTCAGACATCACTGAAATAACATAGCAAATGAATATGGGTAATTTTAGACCCATGTATGTAAAATTGATGTAGAAATACAAAAACTGTGTTTGTTTATAAAGTAAGAAAGGAAACATAAACATAATGAGTTGTGTAAATCAAAAACAAGATATTTAATGAATACCTGGAATAAGAAATGATAAAAAAAACATATATTTTAAAGATTCAGCAAAGAAACACTCAGCCATCACTGAAATACCATAGGAAATGAATACGGGTCTTTTTAGACCCATGTATGTAAAATTGATGTAGAAATACAAAAACTGTGTTTGTTTATAAAGTAAGAAAGGAAACATAAACCCAATGATTTGTGGAAATCAAAAACAAGATATTTAATGAATACCTGGAATAACAAATTATAAAATACATATATTTTAAAGATTCAGCAAAGAAAACACTCAGCCATCACTGAAATACCATAGGAAATGAATACGGGTCTTTTTAGACCCATGTTGCGCATTAGAGGGGTTGCTATACAAAAACTATTTTTATTCAAAAAGTAAGAAAGGAAAAATAAAAATAAGGATTTGTGATGATCAAAAACAAGTTAATTGAGGAATACCTGGAATACTGAATGATGAAATTAATTTCTTGCAAAGATATAGAAAATGAAAACTGAGTCGGGTCTATTTAGACCCATGTTGTGCATCAAAGGGTTAACAGAATTAAATCCTGCCTAACGCTACTTCCCCAGCATTTTTTTTTTTTAGCTTAATTTAAATTATGAAATCCTAACGGCCAGATTTTTAAACAGGGAAAATAAGTGCAAGACTGCAATCCCATAAAAGCACAGATGAGAGTGGAAAGTTCTGGTGGTGATTTACTGACAATGCACATATTAATAAACACTGACACAGCCAGATCATTTCCATAATGACCAAGGCACTCCATTAAGACAACGGTGGAGGTGCAAAGTGGCTTAAGACATGCTTTTTTGGGCATTAAATAATGGTACAAAAACCAGTCAATTGACTAGCGCAAACCATAGTAAATCACATTGCATGATTTATTTAGAATAAATATTGAACTTGAAAAGGGAAATCCGCAAAAACAACTGTGTCCACGCCTTTTTTCATTGTGTGGCTTTAGTAAATCCTGACAGTATTTTTTTAAACGCCAAAAGAGGGTTTATGTTGGTGCAAGCTATAAATTTGGCCCTAAATATGGCCCTAAATCATTAGGAAATGAAAAGTCAAAATTATGACTTTAAAAAACATTACTGGTGTATCTCTTAGGACAAAATAATGGCACTGGGATGTTTTAAGATATTCCAGTGCTTTTTACTTGCATTTTAGCCTGGGACTAGGTTTAAGCCTTCACTATGATAACGGACAACTAAGTTGAAATTATGACTTAAGGTGAAATGATCACATACAAAGTCAGAACTATAAAATATTATGAAATTAGTCAATGACTTTACACACAGCGGTTACAGTTTTGACTTGTTGTCATAGTTATGGTTTTTAAAGTGATCATTTGGACTTCTCATCTCACATCTAATACAGTCTAACTTAGCATGTCATTATTTCGATTGGGCTTTCATATGCTTTTGATCCATAAATACCATAAAAACTATTTAAAATAACAAACTTTATTTTTTATATACAGTATATTTTTAATATAACGTACTGTATTCCAGTGATGGCAAAGATGAATCTCAAACTTTCAAGGAACATTTCTTATTATTGATGAACGGTAGTGTATGTGCGGGTGAACAAGATGGATGAATGCTTAAAATGAAAATCATTGTTTGACAGTTTATCCTATTTGACAGTTGCACCACACCTTGTCATGGCACATTTTCCACAGCAATTCACGGGGTTAAAAACAAGTAATCTGCCAACTACGCATCCACTGAAGCATTTGAAATCAACTATATGCTTCTTCTCACCTATTGCCAAGGGAAGGCGTGCTGAAGCTGGTGCAATTTCCTGTATGATACGTGAGCAACATACAACAGCATTTGAACTTCCCAGATGACAGAGCGGTTGACCAACAGAAAACTGCTTGGTTTTGAAAGTTTGATGATGCTTCGCTACACTATTATTATACTATTGACAATGGGCCTTATTGTTTCTGTGAAATTTTGCTAATGTTACCGCACCAAGTCTATCAGAAGAATTAATTTCATTAGATCATTTAAAAACTTGAATGTATATGGTAGTTTAAGCAAATAGGCAGAGCTGGAGGACACTAAAAGCAATTAGGTCTCAATTTTCTTCTTGGCCTAAAGAGCTCTCTCAGCACTGGCTCACTAATCTAAAGGGAAAAGACATTAAACGCATCGAGTGCCGAGGAATCCAACCCGGGCAGGCCGTCACTAAATGATTATACATTGGCATAACAGGTGAAAGATGTTGTTACGATTTAACTTCGGTGTTACATCACTCCATTGAAATGTTTAAGGAACAAAGACAGAACAAGCACTCACCTGAAAAACGTCACAAAGAACTGCACCAGGTCCATAATGCTGTTGTGCTGAGAGAAGGCGATCTGTGAGGGGACAAAAGCAAAAGAGAGATAAATGATGGGGTGACAGGTTACCAAAGAACAGCTCTTTACCTGAAAAGATGATGAAGACCTTTGCTTGCGGCTAGGGTCCTTCACGAGAGATAATGTCATAACAGATTTTCTAGCTTGAGGGGCCATCACATGCATCATTTTTTTCCTTTTCCTTGTCCCCGCTAATTGTTAAATGGAGGCAATAATGGCTGTTCATGGTTACCTGAGCTGACATCCCTCAGGCATTACACACATGCCAAATATTTGCCTTCTGGGATTGTGTCTTATATTAAATGCACTGGTGTAGCTCAACATGGGTAAGAAGGGATTAAATTACACTGTGGAAGAAAAGTCCATAATTGCACGTTCAAATTGGCTGAACTTTTTGCACACAGGGCAGAGCTTTACGATGACCAGATTTGCATTTTGGAGAGAATATGTGAACCACTTAATATTAAAGGAGCTGTATGCAAGAAATTTATTTCAATTAATCATACATTTTCCCTGATATGTCACTAGACATTAAGAAATTATGTTAATTTCAATAACTTATATCACTGACAACAGTAGTCCGGTCAGGATATTGTCAATTAAAAAGTGCAGTTGCAGCCCTCGACTAGTGTTAATGTTGTCATGTTGTGTTTTGTTCTGATGCGTCACCAATCACGGAGTCAGTAGTGTTGCGGCATTCGGGTTGCCAGCTCTTCTCTAGTTACCACAGCTGCAGATACGAACGTGTCGGAATCGGTTTAAAAAAAATTGTCTAAAATTGTGAAACCAAAAAAACTCAATATGAATCCGAAATACTTTGTGACAATTGCGAAATAAATAATTAACAGAAAAAAAAATCAAAAAGCTTCTTGTATCAGCCTACATTCCTGCTGGATCCTGCAGCATATCTGCCAACCTCGAGTCAAGGTGGAAAAGAGGGATACACCCTAATTTGAAAGTGATTGCAGTACCAGTTTGGGCCACAATCTTGCATACAGCTCCTTTAAGTGTATTTAACTACCATGTACTAACATTAAAATTGATCATTTGTACAATGCACTTATTGTGCACATATTTGTTTTAACATTCTACTTACATCTGCATGTAACTACATCTGTAGTTAAAATTATACTTGACCCTATCTCTACCCCTTAAAGATGTCATGAAAAGGACGCTGCGATAATTTTTTTCTCATTGTGAAGCCTATCCGAGAGAAGCAGCTTCTGGACCGAGAAAAAAAATGTAAGGAGAGGCTTGATTTCATGCTTCAGTAATTAATAGAATCATAGGAAGGTGAGATTTGCTAACTAAATGGAGGCTTTAGTCCCACTCTCTGCAAAGACTAGATTACAAGTGCAGATGAATGTAAATAAGTAAATAAATAAATAATGATGTACATGGATAAATCACTGCAAAATTCTGTAAAAAAAAAAAAAAAAAAAAAAAACAATTATCGATTTTGATATCATGGTGCCTTTAAACCCAACTATACCACCAAATCTGTCCCTAACCTTAACCTTACCTGTATCCACTTCAATAGCATAAAAAAAGTGTTTTGCAGTGTATCTATCAATTTTGTTTTCTGTAAGCAAGTTGCATGCTAAAAAAAAGTTAAGGTTACACGCTTTAAAAATTACATCTTTTAATTTAAGTGAGCTTTAAACAATTTTCACATAAGCGTATTGTAATTGTAATAAACGTCACATTTAGTGATGCCTTTAACATATCAGGGCTTAACACTAAGGTGTTTTGTGCTGGCCCAGCTAGGCCAGTTCAAGATTTTTACCTGACCTGCTAAAATGCAAGTGCATAGTAATAAAGACACCAAATATAAAGTGGAATCAGAATATGGTTTGTGCTGCTTATGCTTACGAGTTTTTATTCTGGCCATTCAACTACTTGTTCAAGGTTCACAGTGTCAAGATGTGTTCTCCTAGCATCCCGTAAGGCAAGGAGAATAACTACTTGGATAAATATATACCCAGCAAAAATAAACAGATTAATGTTCTAAATGTACAAATTTGTAAGTCACCCTGACTCACCAGATGAATAATGCAACACTGGCAGAGCGGGGCAGGTCTTTTGGAGAACCCATTCATTTCATTAAGTCGTTGTCACAGGAACACGGCTGGGGCTAAAGACAGCGCTAGAGAAAGCTTTAACACTCCATTAAGGCTGAACCATTTTTGTCCCCAAAGACAAGCAAGCAAGATGCTGGGATTGAAAAGAGCAGTTGTGCAGCCCCTACATCTGGCCAGTTAAGTCATTGCTCCCACTGAGACCATGCCTTGTTGTGCCATAAATAATGCTGTGGAAGCACCACATGGACAAGATGTTAACACCAAATAGGTCATTTAGACATTGTAAATCATATGCAAACATATGGTAATCTAAAATAATTCTTAATACTGCATATCCGAACAGTAACATTTAAGTATTTGCATTTACAAACATTCAAAACTTCGAAACAGTTTTGACATCTATCAGTGTGTTGTAATGGCACCTGACAAACAGGTTTGTATTTGTGGTCCTTTTATTAACGAAAACTATGAAAAATGTCTGGAAAATACATCATATTCAACATACATTATATTGTGCATATTACTAAAAAGTGTCTGTCAATAAGTATATATCATATAGCTGAAATAATCCCTTTTATCATAGATATTCTAATTTTCATTAATTTTAATATATTATATAATTGTATAAATTGTAAGGATTTATTAGGTAATTGTATAAATTGTCTAAAATATTTTAGATGTACAATTATCTAAAATATATTGGATAATTGTATAAATTGTAAGGACTTAAACCACCCTGTATAGTTATTGTTCATTATGTTGTAGAACGAATAACCACTAACAAAGCATCTCAGATGTAGACAGGACTGTCAGGAAAATTATCCTAATGAGCATTTTGAAACATACTCTATAAACAGGACAGTAACTACTGCGACACCATCTCAGTCTTGGTTCCTTTGTTCTCCCTTCATTATTCCAGTTGTGTTCAAACCTTAAGTCATGTTAGATGATGATGATGGTGTATGTATATATATATATATATATATATATATACATAATGGTGCTCTGATTGATCGGTCACCGATATTTGCTTTGGGATGTGTGATCAGCGGTCTCTATAAAGGCCGATCAGATGACGCAAAACTCGAAACAATTTTTTACGCCCTGATAAAAATGGCAATTCTACAAGGTGTGTGAAAAAGACAATTTTTTTTTTTTTTTTATTTAGTGATTTCACCGGAATGAATAGAGTCCGCAACAGCGATAGATTGAAGCGCGCTTCCATGACATTGATCACCGCTTGAGTTCAAAAACACATTTTAGCACTAGATTTCTTATTTAATAGTGAACTAAATGAATACTCTGCTAGTTAACTGGATATGTTTTATTTATTTATCTTAGGTACATGGTGGGACAGACTTCACTGGATTTAAACAAATCAATCTAACCAAATAGATGTAACCAGTTGTAGTGGTGGCTTTCTTAATCTGTTTAAAATAATTTTGCAAGGGTTCTTGCAAAAAACAAACAAATAAATAAAATAATTACCAAGAAATTGAGAGAAATGAATCTAATAATCTTTATCCCCCCTCTCTCTTCCTCTCTAAATGCCCACAAGATCTGACTAAGTATCCCAGAAAAAAGCAAAGTTATAGATAGCCTATATGGAAGTCTATATTGCTGTGTACTTTACTACCTGTGGTCCTTTAAGTGTGTTTGAAAAACTGATGGCTGACTGGCTCAAAACATTATTTTGGCTATAGCCTTTTTTGTTGCTGTTTTTAGTTTAAGTCTAAAGCTAAATTTAAAGACTCAGATGTTCTGTCTTTTATTTTATATTCTACAGGAAAGTTTTATGTCAAGCCCTACAGTAAGCTGCTCCTGATAACCAAGCTGTTAAGTTAATATGCTGGACATGTTGCTTGCAAATAAATACACAGGTGACAATTCATGATACATTTTCTTCTCTTAAATGTAATACTTAAATGTATATTGTTGTTAAATAAAGTTTAATAAATAATGCAACATTATAAATACAAGTCTTCAAATAGACAATGTAATCGGTGATCGGTATCGGGTGAAACAGCTTCCAGTAATGGGGGATCGGTGATCGCCCCCAAAAATCCTGATCGGAGCACCCCTAATATATATATATATATATAAAACTAATATATATTAGTAATGCAATTACCATACTTCAATATGTAATAATAATAAAGCAAATGGTCCAAAATTATATATATGTGTACGGACAGTCTGATTTAATATTTTTCTCCTAGATTTTATTTTCATTAACCATAACAAATCTCATTTAAATATATGCAAAAAGACTACTACACATACATTCAAATAAAAAATAAAAAATTGGTTGAAAAGGTTGAAATTTAACTACGAGTACATTCACTGAACAGTTTTATTTACGTATTGTGACATTAAAGCAAAAAAAATAAATAAATAAAGCTTGCACATATGCTTTGAAAGGAGTATTTATCTTGTTCATACTGGCTGACGACCTCACACCAACCCATGAGACAATGAGACAGTTAAGCAGCAGTAATGTTTTGTCAGATTGGGTTTCCTGCACAACAAGAGCACTTCAACTCTCCATATCTAATATCTGATGCTTTCAGAGGGGTCGGGGTCCTCATATGTTCATACTTTCACAGTCCCACTTTCCTCGGTAAGCTAATAAATGCTGATCACAGTTTCTGATCATAAACATCAGAGGAGAGCGAGCTCACCGTGTCACGGGGGTCCATTTGATTTAATGATGCATCTCCATGGTAAATAAGTGACTCTGCTTTTGGGAAATCTAATAAAAAACTATTACTGCCTGAACACAGCTCAAGAGATGAAGGTCCGTGAGACCAACGTAAATAAATGAACCATATCAAAGAAACTCATCTCATAGGTGATAGAGGAACGGAGGAATGAATGATCATCAATATTAGGTGCATTCTCGCTGTTGGAGATAGTCCCAACAACAAATGGCGCGCAGTATCTGAGCGTCTCGGTGCACAGCTGGCGAGTGGTAATGAGCGACAGAAAGGTTGAGAGGATTTGTGGTGGTTATCTTTATAAACCATATGGATATCGACCAGATGAAATCTTCCTTTATTGAGGTGGATTTTTTAATAAATAGGTTCACTAGGCACAGAAACCTGCTCAACATCGAACCCTCTAAAGGACTGCTATAAGTGTTTATCATATTCTGTGTATTATATTTTATTACCAATATAGAAGGTTATTACTTTTTCCTTCAGAGACTGGTAATGTAGGGAAAGACATCAGGGCCAGGAGGAGCGTACATTGCTCGGTGTGAACCAACTACCATTGACTAAGTATATAGACGAACATGCCTGCTGTCTATCTATCTGCAAAATAAAGATTTTCTTTTTATTTAATGTAAAAGTAATATTATGAGCACAATCATTCAATATTTATTCATCGCAATAACCACTAGCAAAGTTAAAGATCTTGTTTGTTTGGTAAAAGTTTGGTAAATCTTGACAGACTGACCATAATGGAAAGTACATACAAATAAATGTAAATATTATTTTTTGCATATGTTTTGGGAAATTTTCCATTTGAAAGGATATGAATATATCCAATAAGCTGGCCATTACTGCAAAATAATGACCATAACAGGGCGATAAAAAAGTTATAATTACCATGTCAAAATACTTTTTGTCATTATTATCAACTGTTTGCTCATTATTGATATAAAATCTATAAACAGAAATATCAGTTGACCTGAACAAAGATTCATTTATACAGATTATTTATACAATCCAAAACAGCGTTGTTGTTATCTAAAACTATAAAAAATTGTTTTTGGTACCCAAAATAAAATATAATACTTTGTATGAAATATAATATATTAAATGAAAATTTCAGTTAGCTTCCAATGCAACATTTATATATTTTTTTGTTGATATACTAAAATGACAAACTAAAAACTTAAATAATAAATTAATGAAATGTATGAATGTAATTAATCAAATTAAAGTAACATTTAAAAACAACTAATTCAAAATGTTAACAAATACAGAAAAAAAATATTCACAGTTGTAATAAAAATGATTCGACCCCCAGTGCAAATCAGGTTTATTGGCAAAATTAAAAAAACAAACAAAAAAAAAAAACAATGGGGCTGCCCCTCAAAACAATGGTAGGGGAACACTGGGCTTCATTAGTTAGAAATTAGTTAGAGCTATAACGCATAAAATATCTGAACTGACCAGGGGTTTGATGAGTGTCACGTTTGACTGCATCTTAGAATTATGGCTACGTCAAAAGAATGGTCCAAAGAGTTAAGAGAAGGTATCATCAACCTTCACAATTAAGGAAGAGGATACAAAAAGATAGCAAATGCATTAAATGTTCCTAGAGACACCAACATCATCCGACTGTGATACTGTAGACTCTGGCACTAGACGCAGGTCAGAAGAACGAGTTGATCGATCGTTTGCTCGTTGCTCAGACACATATAGCAAGTTATATATTTTGTATATACATTATATATTTGTCTCTGTCTCCTTCCCACAGACGTTTAATTAACGCGCTCGCTTATCTCTAGGACCCGCCCCCTCCACAAATTAGCCACTTACAGTGGCCATTTCCTATTTTTGCGCCCCCTCCTGCACACCCCTCCCACGTATAACGTGCAAAAAAAGGGTCACATTTTGGTCGCAAAATGTGATTACTTGGTCACAGTCTGGAGCCCTGGCATAGTTTGCAAGTTCATAGTTAAAGGAACAGTGGTTACACTACCTGGAGGGGCAGAAAAAAGAAGCTATCAATGGCCGCAAACAGATTTCTGAGAAGGCAGGGAACAATACTAAAATAACACTGATCTCAAAAAGTAATCTATATCACACATAAATCCAGATTAACTTCAAGTAAGCATTCGAGAACCCAAGAGAAAGGTAATGGTTAGGTTAAATAAATTCCGCGATGGAGTCCATGTGTCATAAAAACTCCAAGTGATGACATTTCACACTGCAGTATAGTCTTTAAGACCAGAGTCACGGCTGACGTGTGAGTTCACAGTGCCAGATCACATCTATGTCTGATCCACGGTGCAGGGGCTCTAACTCTTCCAACACAAAGCATTTGATTAGGGCCAGCCATATACTCATATAATGCAATGCTGATGTCATCCAGCACTGGGAAGCATGCTCAAAGCAGTTTTCAGAGGACAGAGAAAGGGAGAGGAATGCCAGTGTGGATGAGCCTCTGTAGTAGCGTGTTCCCTAAAGCATCCAGCACACACAAAGTCTCAATTTCTATTTCATACATTTTAAGATGCAATTTATTCCTGTGACGGCAAAGCAGAATTTTAAGCCGTCCTCAGCATCACATGATCCTTCAGATCGTCCAAAAGAACAGAATTTATTTGAAATAGAAATAAGTACAATTGTCTTTACAGTGACTTTCAGTCAATTTAATGTATCCTTGCTGAAAAACTATGAACTCCTTTTTGAATGGTGGTGTAAGGAACAAATAAAGACCCAATTTTAATGACTATAGGTTTTAAATAGAGGCTAGAATCTTCATACTGAAAAGATATTTGTTTCCTTCTAAAAACCAAACTACCTGTACCAACATACTGTATGATTTACTATGCACATCATGTATTTCTATATGTGTGTACTGTATATCTCTCCTTCTGTTTGATTGCAAGCAATAAACACTCCAAACATCGTTCATTTTAAGGGTGATGTACCAGAGTAGAGATTCAACATAAATGTTTTTCCATGATAGATAGCATCAGTCTGCACATTACTCCAGCAATGTCATTTTATGTCCGTTGTCTAGGCATCTGGCAACGTAACACATTGCCACTTAACAGCTGATTCAATTTTATGGACCATAAGATGCAAACTTGTTATAGTGCATAACTGAATAATTGATTTCCATATCAAAGAACGCCGGATCTTTTTAGAAATGTTTGTTTTTGTGGATTTCCATTTCACAAAGGAGATGGATGTTTCCTGCTTTACCCAAAACAAAACAAAAAATAGCTTAAGTTAACATACTGAAACTGGTAAAATTGTGTCCTCACCTGTATTTTGATTGGCCATGAGAAGTTGCTGACATACACATAGAAGGTTATGTTGGGGTTGCTGTGAAAACTGAATTTCTCACAAGAGAAACTGTCTCTGTACTCTTTGATGTTAGTCTTTGACACGATAGGGATCTCTTCCCCGGAGATGGTCCCAGCTGTAAGGGGGAAAGAATGTGATAGATCAACTCGAATAAAAAAGGCATTCAGAAATGAGATTTGATGCACCTCATAATGGTCATTCACGCTACACTTTATATTCCATTTTTAGACACGGTTAGACTTGAACATTTATAGGGAGCAAAAATGTTTGTCCATGAATTTTCTTTACCTATATTTATGGTGGGGTCTGAAATAATTTTGCATGGTTAAAATTTAGTGTGACTGCCACTTAATGCTTTCTGAGCAATTAAATAAGGGCGAGCAAGTAATCAACTAAGCTGACCGCATACACTGGTTTAGTTGCTTGTTGATATGTTTTATTCAGGGAGAAAATGAGTTTTAAATCAACCTCTCAGCGTGACAATTTCATTATCTATTTTAAACATATGCGAAACATGGTATAAAACCATAATGTAACAAAAATTACTTGGAGTTGAAAAGAAAAGCAGCCTTTGTCCTATTTTATCAGGACTTTTTAAACTTTTCTGTAGTCCTCCAGTGAAACTCTTAAGTCTCACCAATCGTCATTCCAAACCAGCAGTATGAAACAAAGCCCTCAAAATGACATCCCAAATGCCACTACGTGGCAATGTTTATCTTAATTGAAATCGTTCAGTGCTCCTGAAGACGCCGCAGCCCCAGAATTCAGAGCCGCGCACTAGACTATTGTTAGAAGCCCTTCTCAGGGGAGAGTGTCTTTAAACAGAAAGACACCACTCCAAATATTAATTGAGGAAAGCCGGGAGGTCTAGGAGGAGAGGGGTAAACCTGTTAAAGAGGAGCAAGAATGTCAAAGTCACATTAAAAAAATTGGCTGGTGACTATTTGGATGAAAAGGTTATTACACAAATAAACAATAGAGGATAATGGTGACGTCCTTAAATGTCTCTCTACTACAAAATACCCAACACACCCAGGAACAAACTGCGGTCAAACCAGAATGCATTAGCATCTGTGTATCAATACGATATTATGCTAAGAATGATTGCAAGGTGGTCGACAAGGCATTGTACATCCAATAGACCGACTACTAAGGATGATCCGTTCTGCACTACCATTCAAAACTTTGAGTTTTTTTTTTTTTTTTATGTTTATGAAATAAGCATCTTAAGCTCACAAAGGCTGCACTTATTTGATCAAAAAACAGTAATATTGTGAATCATTACAATTTAAAACATTTTAATTTTATGTTTCAAAATGTCATTTATTCCTGTGATGGCAAAGCTGAATTATCAGCAGCCATTACTCTTGCTCAGTGTCACATGACCCATAAAAAATCATTATGCTGATTTGATGTTTATGTACAATTTCGTAATTAGGGCTCGAGCACCAATGGCGTGTGAAGACCCTATTGGAATTGCTCTGTTTATATTATCTATATGTTTCTTAATAGTATCTTAATAAATATATTCTATAATATTTTGAAACCAGTTGTGCTGCTTAGTAGTTTTGTGGAAACAAAGAACAGTACTGATTTGAAATAGAAATCTTTTTTAACATTATAAAATGTTTTTACAGTCACTTTTGATCAATTGTATGCATCTTTGCAGAATACAAGTATTATCAAAAAAATCTTGCTGATCCCAAACCCTTGAATTGTAGTGTATGTTTTTAGTTTTTTATATTATTTATTATATTTTTTGAGTGTCATATAACAAGTGTTAAAATGCTGTCAAATTAAAAATAGTCCAACTTTCTAAAAAACATTTCTTGAAACACCTTTGTGGACTGACAAAAAAGTGAAGATATGCTCAACTAGCATGCTAGTTTTTACAACAAAAGCATGAACTATTATACACCAAAACAGGCAAATATTCAACCGAGGGAAATATAAATCAGTACCTGTTGACCCAACTGACCAAGTGATGTTCAGATTGAAATTGTTTGAGGCATTAATGGACATGTCCAAGTTCTTGCTGGTCTACAAAATAAAAAGAGAAAACAAAGTTGATGTCTATAAAACAACATTACTATTTTTTTTTTCAGGTGATTTTATAGTAGTATGGATGTAGAACTATTGTTATCTGACCCATGATCACTTCACCATTGGGTTTCCATATATGTAAAGGACCAGCTTGGACATTCTGCAATATTTTTCATTTATGTTTTTGTTCAAAAAAGAAAGTCATAATACATACATGTTTTAAAAGACAAAATAAGAGTGAGAAAAGGATGACAGATTTATCATTTTAGGGTGAACTATGACATTTATGAAATTGATGAAGCTAATTCTGTTCTCAGATGATAAGTAGATTGTGACTGACCTGTTCAGGGGTGGCCATGAAGTTAATGGCAGTGTAGTGCTGGTCATCTTCTTGAAGAAGACTGAAGGTGAACTGGTAATCAATCAGCAAGTTATCTGTTCAGATCAAAACCATACTGTTAATTATCACATTTTATACAATCATGAACCACACCATGCAATTCTGTCAGGTTAATGGCTGAAACTATGCATTTAAGGAACGTCGCAAAAGAGTGGTGCACATTCACTCTTGAAATAAGAGGGCTACTTTGAAAAGCTACATGAATCACCAGTCACTTTAATTGCACTAAATGAATACCTCCCTTTCAGAGTGTGTCATTGCTTTAATAAGCATACACTCTGATTAAGCTCAATTATTTTTAGACATCTACAAGTATTTAAAATCTAGGCTTCTTAGTTACATTAACGAACTTGTTAACTTTACCCAGAACTAGAGCTAAAGATTTAAAAGTTTAAGACTAAACAGTGGTTTCCAGATTTCGGATCATTTCTAAACGAGCACAGTGAGGTGGTGTAGGTTTAGTCTTTTTCAAAGTCTTGACATCTCTTTAAAGCACTATTTCAAAGACATAGAAATATCTGGATTGTTTTCTTATCTCCTGGGCTGTTAAATGACTGAATGCTGCCACAGGCATCTCACAGAGAACAGCTGTTTGTGTGAATCACAATATGTCACTGTAAACATCTCTTTCACTCCCCATCAATTTGAAAGATGTCTTTATAAGCTTTTAATCAATTCAGATGTGACATGAAAGCACCATAGTTTCACTCATTTCCTCGATTTTTGCTTGAAAGATCATGTAGCCTCCATGCACTGAACAGTGCTGATCTGCAAATCAACTACTACGAGAATCAGCCCTTTCCTTTAAATCATCCCATCCGCCTAGAAGAGAATGCTGCTGCTTTCAAAATTAGTTTTAGATGCAACTATTTATAGGTGACAAAACTTGAATCATCCTCCAGCTTGCTCTTAAACCATTAAGGTGATATATGCTGGATTTTTTTCAAAAAAGAAACAGAATGGAGAAGCTAAAGTGAATGTCAGTGAGTTTCATAAGTCAGACAGCTGTTCTGAAAGTGATGTCAGCCACAAAGTTGTAAGTTATTAAAAGAGCATAGGAAAAACTTGGTATATGACATTTTCGTCCAAACGCTCACTACAAGACAGAAGCTTGACATCCTGCACAAATCAAAAACTCACAGTTTCTTTGACAAGTTCTTTGTCATGTTCTCGTCTATTGTGAAGACTTCACACGACGAATCGCAGACTTGATGTCAATTACATGACCACTCTCCTGTTTGGCTGTTGCTACAGTCTCAAAATTCATTCCCTCAAACAAACATACTCTCTTTCTTAACTCAAATGAAGATGTTTTTAAGAATGTTAAAATGATAACCAAGAAGTTTTGGTTAACATTGTTTATCTTTCCAAAATATATTTTTTTACAGGTTTGGAACCAACAATAGGGTGAACAAATTATGGCCGAATCTTTATTCTCTTCACGCCGTGTCTGAAATCCGAATTCTTCCCTACTATTATAGTATGCTGTTACGTCCTTAGGGACGTTTATAGTGTTTTTGTGTTTCTCTTTTTGGTCTCTATCTCTTACTTTACTTTCACAGGCCGTCTTGCCTGTCAGTCATTCGTAGTGATTTGAGTGGGTGTGCCTTGTGAGGCGGGATCATCATCCCGATGCTTGACACCTGGAGAAGCCCAACTTAAGGAACATGCTACTGCTAACGAGAGAGACTTTTTGTTTTGAATGCAATGCGATGTGTTTTGTTTTTTTGATTTAGTTTTGTTAAGTGTTTTGTCCGTCATGTACTCTTGCCCTTTGTTTTGAGCGCTCAAAAAGGAGAGGGGAAAGGTAAGGTCGTGAAGTTTTTTTTTTTTTGAAAAAACTTTTGCTGATAATTTATTCACCCCCATGTCATCCAAGATGTCTGTCTTTCTTTCTTCAGTCAAAAAGAAATTAAGGTTTTTGAAAACATTCCAGGATTTTCTCCATATAATGTACTTCATTGGGAACCGAACGGTTCAAGGTCCAAAAAACAATTTCAGTGCAAACTGTTCAAAGGGCTTTAAACGATTCCAGACGATGAATAAGGGTCTTATCAAGCGAAATGATCGCTCAATAAAAATAAAAATAAAAAGTTTAAGTTTAAGTTTTATTAGCTCAAATGCTCGCCTTGCTCTGTACTGCGATGCACATTCGTGACTCTCCTGTTCGAACTCGTTCATAAAAATTGAACAACTCCTTTAAGGATTTTTTTATTAGTTATAGTAGTTTATTTACAATGTCACGGTCATTGAAGACTTTTTATTTTATCTATCTTTTCTTAGTTTAGGATTATATTGAAATGGTTTGGTTAGTTCCTTTTTGATTATGTTATTTTTGTTTGTTTGGCACAATCCAGTTTTCCCATTTGTTCCTTCCGTTTATCTTTGTTAATATGTAAAGTATAAATTACTTTACCTTTATTCAATTAAGTTTACTTGATTTTGTTGTGTCTCTCATTTCATTCAGTGCTCAATGGTGACAAGTGTCTGAACTAGTTTAATGTTCCCCTTCTAAAAATTCCTATATGTTTGTGAGCCAAAGAAGGGCTGTAGCAATGCAAAAGACAGTACACCAACAGAATACCATAAAACATCAAATAATAGCCCAGGCTTTAATTTTCCCCAAATGGTCGAACTGCACCGGCTTATATTTGAGACAGGTGTCTATGAGACAGGCCTTTATAATTTAGTGTTGAGATGTTGTTCATTGAGTGTAGGTATAGTCTGTGATCTCTAAAAACCTCCAAATGCTCTTAGTTTAAAGTTTAAAACTGCGGTCTTCCGACCTTTTAGCATCATGTCAATTGATTTTGATTAATATGCGCAAGGGAGAGAGAGCAGGACAGCGTTTGTGTTGTATGAAGACGTGAGCGCGGCCGGTGCGCTCTCTCTGCTCGTTATGCGCCCAGTCAAGCGCAGCAGTCATTCTATTCTACATCACTCACCGATCAAAATTTTCTTTGGCAGCCGCCAAAAAGTGGACGATCTGACCTGATCTCTGATCTGAAGATTAAATACAACCCGAAACTAAAAAAACAGACCAGGCCTTTATTTGAGACCAGCCTTTATTTACCCAAACCACACTGCATGAAAAGTGGGATTTTCGTCAGTAAGCGGCACTGTAGATTGTCGTGGAAGTTCAGGTTTACGACTGCACACGGCAATTTACAGGTAACACTCAAAACTGCCGTGAATTGCCGGAAATTGACGTGGGCCTTGCTTGGCAGTTGTCCCCCCATTGTCCCCCCTTCTCCTAAATCTAGAGGAGGCTTTGACATGTAAATGAAAATGCTGTGAGCTATACACATGCAAATAAGGGTAGGGGAGTTTCACCCCAGGTAACATTTTTCTGAAAGGAACTTCATTCTAAGACAATCTCTGGTAGAAATAGATCAGGCTCAGTATAACCTAATTACCGCGTTTTTTTTTAACATTGCAACATGACATCCAAAAAGATAACAATCAACAAATAATAATTTCACAATAAATAAGAAACAAATAAAAATAGGACAGAATTGAACAAATGAAATAAAAACAGGAAAGGGACTATCTCTATTGTGTATAATATTATGATTTAAGAGAAAGTTAGAAACCAGTAATTTGTACTATTTAAAGAAAGAAAATAGCATACACATAAATTCACTTTTCAATTAGCTTCAATATTCTTTAGCAAATACAATTGTATCACTACATTTTTATCGATACATTTGAGAGACTCAATATACTGAAAACTGAAAATCAGACTCAAAAAAAAAACTTCAAACAAGGTTTAGAAATATTCATTTTACTCTTATGAATATGAAATTTTCCTAATACAATTACAAGATTCATCATAACATTTACAGAAGTAGTTTTCAAAATATATGATAACATCTTTGGATGTTAATTCACAGTTATAAACAGATGTTTTTTGTTTTTGTTTTTTTACAAATTTTTTTACTGGTTTATTTATTTTAAGTAGCCTAATAAAGTTATTTATTTATGAATATATGTATTTTTACATTTCATGGTAGCCTATTTGGGTATATCCACCTTATTCCTAATTTAAAATGAACAGCAGCAGAAAAGTCAAGACAGCCGACGACAGCCTTTCAACCTAAGTCAAAAACCAGTGAACGTAACTCTGATTGGCTGAGGCAGCATATCATCATAATCCAACCTGTAACGTCAGCCACTCTGATTGGCTGAGGCAACGTGCCAGGCATGTGGCGTGTTATTCAAGCAGAAATAACGGCACAGATATTCAGCCTGCTTCGCCGTCATGATCGCTGGGGAACCCATCTTTTCCTCTAAATTGAAGGTAAGTTCGTCCAACTTAGTGAATTCTATGTCCATGTGTACTTATAGTGTTTGGTAGTTTAGCGTTATTGTCTTAAACTTCACAAATCTGCTGTGATTACTGCCGCGAATGTCCAAGGGTGTTAACCTAACGGAACAGTTTTTTGTTTTGCGTTAGCTTGCTGCTCTTAAATCTTCTTTAGTTTCGTTTCAATTTGAACAAGTTGGGACACTAAACTGTACGTGTTAGGTTGCACTTTGTTATCTGGCTGCAAGCTAGCTAAGTTACCATTCTTTGCTAGTAATCAAACTAACTCGTACTGAGTGTTCAATTGGCTTTTCCCAATGCGTTTACTGTGAATATCGTCAGAAATTATGAAAAAATAATAAGTGCCAGGGTCATAAAACATAAAGCGCGTAATGTGCTTGTATGCTCTAGTGTAGGTTATCCTTGTTTGTAAAATTGCATCACTTTGTGTGATGATGGAGTGAAATCTTCAGGTGTTTGTGATTTGTTTTGTCTCTCAGGGGCTGTAAGGAGTGAGGTGTCCTTCGCTGATAGGAGAAAAATAACCTAAACAAGGTAACGTTACGTGTTGTGATCTCATCCTCTTTTCTTTTGAACAGGCCCCAGTCAAATAAAAAGTAAAACTAAACTAATTTGTATTAACGTTTGTGTTTATAGATGACTTTGAGCGTGAGACAGTGGTGAAAACGCCAAAGAGAACTGGAACATGGCATGTTATATTCAGTTATAAATGTTTTACCAAGTTATTAAATATCTTATAAATCTGTTCAGTTTCATCATTTGATAATAACTTTATAACACATTTTTTTGTGGTATAGATGCAGTGACTGAGACTGGGAGATGCAGTGACTGAAACCTGGTGGTAAGTATTGATCTATTGGCAGTGGAGAAGACACTTTTAATAGACACCTTCTCCCTTGTGAGCTAGCAAACTTTGTTATTCTAATTAGAGTATTGTAAACATCACCAAATGTGTTTGTTTATTTCAGTGTTCCAGAAAAAGGTCCTGAAACTACTGGTCGACATCCGCCATCGCCTGAAGGAAACCAGGTAGTGGATGCAGAAGAAACATATTTTTGCTTACAAATGTGGGGACTTGGGGCAGATTGCCTTTGCATACATCTAAATCATTGTCTTTTTCAACTTTGCAGAAGGGGTCATGAAATTCGGTTCCACAGCCACTGAGGTGTATGTACATCAAGGTGAACCTCAAGCACGCGTCGCAAAGACTTGGATTCACTTCGCCCTGATGAGCCAAGCCTACAGGACTTGAATTAAGAGTTTTAAAGGGATAGTTTACTTGAAATTATTTTTTTGAAATGTTTTGGCTTACATCAAGGGCATCAGTCATATAATGGAAGTCTATGGGGATCTCTTAAAAGAGCATGCACAGAGAAGTACAAATTAAACATGATTTAATGAATCATAACTGTAAGTACACGTTGATGGCTTAAGATATGAGACGAGCGGTTTGTGTGAGAAAATGAACAGTGTGTGTGTTTGTGTGTATATATATATATATATGATCTGCGCATGCGGCGGAAAGTGCCAGAAGCGATCTTGCACTGGTACGTCACTCATTGTTTACACAGATTTCAGAAGTTTTACTGTGAAGATCTAAACATATTAAGATATATTGCATTTTTGTGTATATCTAAATATATATATATACACATTTATACAATAACAATATAAATACTGTTTGTTTTCTCTCACAAAACGCTCATTTCGTGTCTTAGTCCATCAATGTGTACTTAATTTATGAGTCATTAAATCATGTTTAATTTGGTCTTCTTTATGCATGCTCTTTGAGGTGGTGACCATAGACCTGCATTATATGACTGACAGACAACAACGGTTTGACCTAAAAATATCAAAATTGAAAATACTGTGGAAACAAAGACCCCTGCATCTTGGATGCCCTTGAGGTAAGCTAAAACATTTTAAAAAATTAATTTCAAAGTGAACAATCCCTTTAAATTACATCCTTATTATTCGTTCATAATTCTGCCTTCTGTGTTTGATATATATGGTGCCCAATTCTGATGCCATTCAGGGCAATTTATTTTTGAATAAAGATGCAATATATTATTGATTTATTTGTATAACTGTAGTGCTGTATGTATGTTGTCCCATGTTTCCAGAGGGTGGAGGACATGTTTTCTGTGCTTTGAAGATGTTCTCCTATGCTTTGTACATAGTTGTGTGTTTGTTCTAATAAAGCTATTTCTTTGAATAAACAGTATGTGGCAAATGTTCCTTTCCTCAATAAATTCATGTCCTTGATGGTAATAATAATTTAGTCCATAGGATAACAATGACATGAATATACAACATAATAGCATATCATATGAATATATATATATATTATTATTATTATAATTTTATGTCGGCTGACCAATAGTAACAGATCTGCCAACCAATCACGAGTGATTTTCTTGTTTAAATGTAGTGAATTTCAACCAATACTGAGTGAGGAAATTCAAGCCATTCTCTGGCAAGGCGCGCGCAGTGCTGCTATTCATATGCTAATTAGGGCCATTCACACCTCCGCGAGCGCTCCATGTATACGTCATGGTTCGTTTCCGTCAATATGTGGCACAGACGAACGCGACGTTCACAGTCTGTAAATTGTCGTTAACTGCCGGAAATTAGGGAGATTTCCGGCAGTTTACGGGGACGAAAACCCCACTTTTCATGCAGTGCCAGCAACCACACCAGGAGCCTAAAAGAGACAGGAGTCTATTTGGGACTCAGCTATTATTTGAAATGTTATGGTAGTATGTCCAAATACATAGTAATATATAGTATTTGAAAGTACCCGGGTTACCTACTACTTCAGGCTAGATTCTGAATTGCGCATTCAATTGACATTTTACTATCCCATGAGACCATAGGAGAGGATTTCTGAATGGCAGTGTCCACACTCAGGTGATTAAAGACACTGCCCACTGCAGTTATATTGGGAAAACATGGTGGGCAAGAGTGTGGGATTAAACCAGTCTGAGATGATTTTGCATGATCAAGAGGGCTTGCTAGTGGTGCCTCCGGAAATAAACAAATCAAACCTTGCATGTGTGAGAAAGCGAGCTCACACTGCCTACTTCTGCTCAACTTCGGCTTGTGTCTTTAATTAATTAGTTCGAATCATTCGCTTACTCACTCTGACCGGGATTGACACTCTCACCAGTCTTATATTGTCGCCTCCGGCCCACTCTCCAGCAACACTTCCCCCTACAGGACACTATTTGAGAAAATCCAGCCGGGTGAAAACAGTTTTCTTCTAAACAGCTATTGGGCCGGAAGCCTGAGAGCATACGCGCTCCATCTAACAGACGCAGAGGGAGCAGTGGATGGAAATTGATTGATAAATTGAAGGCTTTATTTAATCCTGATTGATGACAATAGGGATAATGCTGGTAGGATTTGCAAACGGAGTGAAATTTCATCTCCTAAACGCTACTGACTGCATTTAGCCTTTTCAGACTCCATGATGACTGCTGATATTAATTGCAAAAAAAGGAAAGAGAGAAACACTAATGTATACACAGGGGTCATGCTGTTTCTGATATACAACAAGACTGCCCCCTAGTGTTGTGCATTTGAGCTCTGCACACAGACTTCAACATGGTTTGCTGCAGATCTTCTGAGATGTTCAAGAGATCTACATCTACTTTTTGATTTCTGACAAATCAGAATGTCTCATCCACCACTTATATTGTTGTGTGGTTGTGCATCAGGTCATAGCAATTTCATCCAGGTTTCCAAGCATCTTAAGCCCCTTGAGTCTAATTTCATTAAATGGCAGACTACAAACAGCCTCTAGAGTCAGACACATTTTCAAGGTACAGCAGGATTACTTTAAGGTCAGAGTTCAAATAGAGCATACTCACAGTAACAGGTTCCACGAAGAGGGTTGCCAAGATAACGGTTTTCTGAATCACAACTGTAGAGGGGATAAAACAATAACTGAGATGAAACACATCAGACCATGCAACATCTGATGTAAGATGCAAACATGCATTTGTCATAACATTTCTATTTTATGCACTTAGCAACTACTTTTATCCAAAGCATTCAAGTAACACATTTACAGTTTAGAGGTTCTGGACTGTGAAACAAGAAACAGTTTGTAATTTGAAAAAAAAAAAAAACTGAAAGGAATATATTAAACCAAAGTCTTGAGACAGACTAGACAACCTACCGCATAAGTGATTTTTGTAAATATGTTGTTTTGCATATCCTAATTAACTTTGTTAAATATTGCATCTGTGATGTTAAAGTCAGCATGAAATTAAAATTCTCCCTATTCATTTTCTAAATGCACTTTTAAATATTTTTGAACTTGTAATGTTTAATCAAAATGCCATAACTGGAGCTTCCGGTGAAAACTTCAGACTCTACGATTCATACGGGACTTCTCCAATCATTTGGTCCGCTTAAACCCCCTAGCTTTCATCTGCTTACACTCTAAAAAATGCTGGGTTGTTTTAACCCAATTTTGGGTCAAATATGGACAAACCCGAAATGTTGGGTTAAAAATGTAATGTAAAAATTTAACCCAACGGCTGGGTTAGTCCATATTTGACCCAAAGTTGGGTTAAAACAACCCAGCATTTTTTAGAGTGTACATTTTTGAGTGCAACAAGTACACCTCAAAAACCAAACAACAACCAATGCATAGAATCAAGTCCTGGCCCTGATTTTTTTTTTCTTTTCTTTTTTTACACTCGGATGTGCCAATATATGAAAGAAAAAATGTGAAGGAAAGAAAATTACATACGAAAAACAAACCTACAGCTGTTTTCATATATCATACTGAAATTGCAGTATGACGATGGTTCTTGTTGACCTCTAAATGGAAAAATAGCGTTAAATTAACAGAAAAAGCTGAAGAATGTTTGTGTGTTTTGACTTTGTGTTGTGCCTGCCATATCTTTGTCCCTTTCCATACTAAAGCAGATTATGTAATTCCACTCTGTTCTCGGCTCGTGGTCCTTTATTTCCAGAGCTTCATTAGAGAGCGCCAGGAGACAGCCCAAAAATTTCTCTACCTCAATCTCAAACACGCTAAACAATTAACACGGCGCTGTCGGCCCAGCTCAGCACCAGCCTAAGCAGATTACACATCTTGTTGCTCTTCTGAGCCAGAAACTGACGGTCCAATTAGAGTCTGCATTCATTTGAGAGCATAACTCTCTCCTCACAACAATCTCGCCACTTAGTTTCTACAGAGGGAATTCACTTTCAATTCACTTCATTGTTCTGTAAACATATCTGAAGTGCAAATGTGATTAATCATTGAAGCCACTCTTAAGGAGTAAATGCAGTGATGTAAAAGTTAATGAGGAATGCCAGGCTCTGGTACTGTATAATTACTTTGGATCTAATCTAACGCAATGAATCCAGTTCACATGCATTTCGGACATGCAAGTATGGACATGCATTACAATTGTAAGGTCCAGCCAAATTTGGCTTTGGAGTCTGTACTAATGTGTACATGCTTTAGTAAGTCATAATTATGGCAAAGCCAAATATTTGTCAATGATTTTTTATCTCATAAATATAACTTAATATATCATAATTTATACATTTTCTCTAATCATTTTTATTCTATGACAAAAAGTAATATTTTTGTCCATTTTGATTAGATCTCAATTTTTATACTTGTCAATTATCATACTTGTAATAGTTTTGTCAACAAATCGACCTGAACTTATAATTTTGACCTTTTATCTCATAATTAGAATGATCTCATAATTAGACAAAACGGAGGTATACGTGGCAAATGGAATACTGACCGCTGACTGGGCGAGACATCTGTCAATCAAGACATGCAGAAAGTACAGCAGACTGCGGCAAAAGTCGATTCGCGTGTGCATGTGCACATATCTGTATCATCTATAATATTTTTTTTTTTTTAAATATGTGTGAGGCTGTAATCTGACATTAATGCCACTTGCTTTGCAAAAACAAACAAACACTATTAGAATAAAGTTATAATGCCCCTAAAATTTCAGATATAGTGGCAATGCCCCAGCATGAGCTTTTTTCTTATATATACAATATGGTAGCCTATAGTTAAGCACACAAGCAAGAGTGCTGTTTTTTCCACATGTGATATTAATTTTTTACAGATCAATGAACAAGAAGTTAATATTGTGAATTAAAATTTGTCACTCGAGGGAGACTCGAACTCAGGTTAAAAAGCTAAACCTGCTGTTCTTACTACATGCCACTCTCCCACTATACCAGATCAAGTTCTTTTATAATTTTGTCTGACCAAACCATATAGTGATAGGAGGATTTTAATATGAAAATATGTACACATGCACACGCCAATCGTCTTTCTTCTGCCGCAGTCTGCATGTCTTGATTGACAGATGTCTCGTCCAATCAGCAGTCAGTATTCCATTCGCCACATATACCTACCTTTTCCGTTGTCAGACTTGTCGCTGTGTTTTCTAATTTGCTATTTTGTTTTCAGATTTGTCGTTGTGTTTTCTAATTTGTTATTTTCTTTTCGGAAATGTAATTGTGTTTTCTACCTATTTGTTTTTAGTCTTTCCATTAAGTTTATTATTATGTTCATTAAATTTTTTTAAACACAGAAACATACTTGGATCCATAGACTGTGTGACCAAGGCTATGATAATCCAAATAATTACACGTTTGACTGAAATAAATACTGTTTTAAGCATTACACATACAGGCACCACCTCCTTAAGTACACTAATCTCACAGTCGAATATACACCGACCTCCATCCCGTACTGTAAATATCTTTGCCCTTAGCTTGCGGGGATCCAACTTTATCATACACAGCTGAAGCATTCACATTTTTTCCGAGAGTTGGTAATAAATACGAGAGGACAAGGTAGAGTACACTTTTACCACGGTACAGAGGACACAGGACAAACTGCACCACAGGCATTTTAAAACCTCTGCATATCAGTCCCCTAGCCTTTAATCTGGATGACATTTCAGAAATGACTATTCTCTCTCTCACCCATACACCGCAAATCAGAAGGAGAGGTTTCCAACGCTCATGTCCGCATACACACAATGTACTCTGCAAGAGCAATGAAATATAATGCACTCTTACTCAGTATCTTAATTTAATCTCCAGTGAGAGCACACCTACATGTGAGTGCATCCTTTAATGCACTCTCTCTCTGTAGTGGCATAATTTGATCCCCATTTGGGTCGCACGTGGAGTGCCACAACATACAACACACTCCATGACACTCTATCATGATGATGATGGACTCTACAGTAATCAAGCATGCTTTCGCTTCAAATTGTATCAATTTCCTCTCTTTAATCATGTGTATCTTTTCAAATATCTCTTGTTGAGCTGTCCTCTGATCGAGAAGGAAATTGACGCATTCTCATCGTTCTGAAGTCCCACTCAGGTCTGTGAAAGGAAACTTTGAATTGCTCTTCCACAATGTCAGCTCACTAAAGTGGGGCCAGCGAGCGATCACTGCAGCACATCAGGGGCCGTATTCACAAAACATTTTATCTTGCCACTAAGAGTTCTCCTTAATAGCAGTGAAAGTTCTTGGGTATGATTTTCCTCTTAAAACCTATTAAGAAAGCTATTGAGTCCAACTTTTACTGAATAGAGAGTTAGAGAATTATTTTCTACTTGACTGCAATCTTTTATTCTCCACCGTTCAATGCAAACCTTTATGTTACTGTATGTCATCACAGATTAAAATAGTTATTGCATTTAGGGGAGAAGGCTCAGCACCCAAGGCTCTATCGCCTATTGCTTCAATAGTGTACAGTGTCTTTAGGCAGCGTCTGAGGCTGTCTGCCAGCAACAGCCAATTTAGATTTGGTCTTAGTGACTTTAAGCAGTCCTCTTGACAACCCCTAACTTTTCAAAGATTTAGGAGCTGGCTTTAACGCTAAAATGCTTTGTGAAATACTCTTAGAGCAAAAACATTCCAAAAAGAGTCCTAAAATTAGGACTGACACAGCCATTTCTCCAAGAGTTTCTCCAAAATCAGCGAGTTAGGAGCTACTTTTAGCACTAAGATGTTTTGTGAATACGGCCCCTGGTCTTTAATCAACCATTTTGAGCGTGATGGTGTTTGTGCGTGACAAAAATGATCTCGGTGCTTCATTATGGACCTCATTATGTAGGATGGGTAATGGCATCTGTCCGCTCTGAGTAATGAAGGTGAGAGAACAGAGTGAGAAGGAGAGGAATAAACAGAAAGTGGTAACGGCTGTCTCAAATGCTGCCTGTGCACTCATTTGTCCTTGTGATGAAGACATGCTTGAATACATCATCAATGGACCTGGCTGCCTTGGCCTCTTTGGGCTACACACAATTAAAAACAAACATCTACCGGTTTGCTCAAACACACGCTGAAAACAAAAGTGTGTGTGAGAGATAGAACCCTTCGAGCCCACAACCACCACTATAGACACGTGAACATGAACAGCATTATGGTGTGAACATGAACAGATCCAATTCCAAGAAAGCACTTCGTCGAAAGAATATTCCGGCGCGCTGTCTGGCCACACGATACTGTTGCGCGTCTTTCTGCGCATTATTGGAATGGAATGAATGAATGAATGAGTGTGTGCATCAGGACATTCACATACAGAGCGTTCTCTTTAGTCTAATCGCGCATAGACGCAAAAAAAAGCATTTGCAGTTCACCACCTTTTGGTGGTAGTTGACGAGATTCCCCTTCTATGTAAAGCGCTTTGAGTACATTCTGTGTAGCTTACAAAAAAAAAAAAAAAACATTCTGTGTAGGCCTACCATGAAAATGAGTCCACTTCAAACAAGTGATCGACCGATATATCGGTCGGCCGATTTATCGGGCCGATATTTGTGGTTTTTACTTGTATCGGAATCGGCCGATATATCCTGTCGATAGATCCTGTCAGCATTAATTCTGTCTGTCAGTAAAGTACCTGATTTCCCTTGAGAATCCTTGTCCAATGAATGGACGACCTTAGCACACATGTGGTTTTGTTTACAAATTTTGGTTCACTTGCAAAAAGAGCAGTGTGAAAGCGAACCATACAAAAAAAAAAAAAAAATATATATATATATATATATATATATATATATATATATATATATATTAGGGCTGTGCAAAAGTTAATTGCGATTAATCGCATCCAAAATAAAAGTCTGTTTTACATAATATATTTGAGTGTGCTGTATATAATTATTTTGTATATATAAATACCTATGCATGCATGTATATATTTAAGAATTATTTGCGCTTAAATTCTGTATATATATATAAATACATAATCAATATTATAATAATATAAATATTTTATATAGGAATAACACATTTTCTTAAACATATACATGCATGTGTGTGTATTTATATATACAAAATAATTATATACAGCACACACAAATATACTATGTAAACACAGACTTTTATTTTGGATGCGATTAATCGCAATTAACTTTTGCCCAGCCCTAATATATATATATATATATATATATTAATTTATTTGGTCCGGACCAAAGCAAGTGAACTATCGGACTTTCCTGGTGTGAATACACCCATACTGGAATTGGATTTCACAGGTTACACTATGATTTATTAAAAACAACCAGTTCATCGGACTAGTAGATTTAATTATGTTGCAAATACTGTGCAGATGCTTCATCTACTGTAGGAATGCTTTATGCACTGTGCAAGAAAAATTAACAGAAACAAACAGCATTCAGTTACGGACGGTTAACAATGAAACCAGTAAAGAAAAGGGGCAAACAAAATAACATGAACGTTGCTTTCCATGGTTCCTTCTCTCCATGAGTCATTCAGCAGTCGTTTAGTTTACGATGAAATTGTGCTGTGGTGACAAATAATACAATGTGAATATAGACCTGCAGGCATAAAGTCACAGTTTCCTGTTTCATGCCATAAAACCCTGTTAAAAGATCAAGTGACACCTTCCATGAGCTGCACACCTCTTCATATCCCAGAGTTACACGTCAGCCTAGAACAAAGCATTTGCTCCTAAAAGAACAAAACAAAGGCACTACCACCCTCCGCGCTGTGGCCCTGAATGCAACACGGCAGCCCGGATTTTTAAACTGCTTCTGTTTCTATAACTGAAGCATCTGAGTGGGAAATTCAGTTCTCACCCACGTCTCCTAAATAAGCATGACTGGTCAACCCACTCTTTAGATTTTGTGCATGTACATACAACAATGCAGTGAGTGAAGCACTTGAGTTTCATTATTCTCAAAGATGAACGGACTCTCTAATAGTCACAAACTGATGCCAGAACACTCCCACACCTCACTTCCACCTCCATTAGTGCTATTAAAGAGTGTGCACACAAGCAGACAAAATGTGCTGCGTCTGCGGATAGGCCCGAATTGTGAGGACACAGTCAAGCTAAATGGAATGAAGGGGACTTCATAGCCTTAAATATTGAAATGATAAATTACAATAACTGTAATATTAGTATTTATGATTTCCATTACACCAGAGTAGATGTTAAACTTCATGCTGATTTGTACTCGGCTTTCGCCAAGATAAGCACAAACTAAGACATCTATGCCTCTCCATCCATTTACGCTTCTTCCCATATGGTGGTGTGACTCCCCAACTGTCCGGCGTTAACGGCTGCAGTGTACTTGGCACGTCAGCACACACGACGGCTGCAACTACAGTATAGACCAGCACCACAACCATCTGGATTGAGCCGAGTAGGAGACATCTCAAGTGGGCACCTTCCGTCCTCAGGGTTTCGTCGACTAGCCCACGACACCTCAAGAGGGCTCGACAGTGTCCCAGAGTCACCCCTCTCCGTCCCCCACTCAACTCAGCCCAGCTTACTGACCTCAATATCCCTCCTGCTGAGACCTAACCAAAATCTCTCCGCTACCCAACCATACGCGCCAACCCGTTTGACTAAGGCTGTCGAGCCCCACTGGTGCGTTAAAGCAGTTTCAGTGGCAATGAAATAAATTAAATAAATGAAATGTTTTAAAATAAAAAATTGATATGCCCTCATTTAGAGGTGTATGAAGAAGATGTACTTACAGCTGGCATTGGTCACCTTTGATACCCTTGGTGGTACAAAAGCATTTCCCCGTCAGCACCTGGCACACGTTGGCATGGCCATTACATTTACAGGCTAGAAGAGAAAAAAGTGAGAAGGAACCAGATAAAAATGGGAACATGAGAAATTTACAGAGGGAGATAAAGATTAACAGAAGGGGGCAGAAAGAAAGAAACAGCGTGTGAACAGAGAACAAATAATTTACGGAAATAGCTTGATCTCAATACGGAATAAGCTCTTTTTATCTTAATGCTTATACTTAATGCTACAATAGAGCAATTCTAGGGATACTTCTGTGACACCACATAATAATAAATACATCAACTAAATTAAAATACAAATGACTAAATTGGCACCAATTCAAATCAGTCTCTACAGTCATAGGTTTATCTACTGGATCTAAACTTGAGGTCAAAGAAGTTGAAAAGGGATCATCTCATAGGTGGTCTCTCTCTGTTCTCACATTTTGTTCTTAGAGACGCAAGTTTGGCTGCATTACATGAAATGAGAACATTAGATTACAATCCCCAGGCTGATGGATATCAAAATAATAAATTATGAACCTTAATCACAGTGGTCAACAAACAAAAAGAATGGTAAATTATTTTCATTCTGTGTGCAGGAAAATAAGAATATTACATAATCCAGGCCAAGCAGACACTAAAACATCAATTTAGAAACTAAATTGTAAAGAGAAAGTAAAGAGTTTTGTCATCACAGGCCTACTAAGTAACATTAAGACATACTAATAAATACTTTAACAAATGTACAGCTCATTGCTAGTTCATGTTAATTAATACATTAATCTTAATTTAACTAACTGCCACAGCCACATCTGTAAAGAAATCCATGTCCGCATTTTCTGAGCAGTAGACAATAATTATTTCTAAAATAAGCTTTAATTCTACTCATGCTCTACAAGCTGCGCTAACATCATTGTAGATCGCTGGGCTCTGACAGGCTTTTGTCTTCCAAACTAAACATACATGACAGCACGTATAGGACCAATTCTATGCCGCCTCTAATCCCCAGCATCCTGTAGGTCGTATTTCAAAGGTTTATGCTGATGTGTGTAAGAACTCCTTTTGTAAGTTGCTCAGCTTTTAAGAAGAAATATGAATATCATATTTCCCATATTCTTGAGAAATATGATAGTGTCTAGGATTTGCAAGATGCAGTTTTTTGAACTGACATGCCATCAAGTATTAAAGTAAAGGAGGCCTTGGGCAAGATTTCACAAAAAAAATTGAGGAACACAGCAAATCCATTTTCAGACAGAAATATGGTGTAAATAAAACATTAAAATATAGTTTATGGTCCCTAAAGTGTCTCTAAATTTTAGAAATTTTAAACTAGCATGTTTCGTGACCACTAGTGCTTAAGGGGTAAACTCCTGGTGGGGTTGTTGGCTCATATCTGAGAGCATAATGGCATATCCTGTTTCACATAGGATCAGTGGGCAATGCTGTAAACTGACATCACCAGGGCAAAAGAGGGGAAAAAAAAAAAAAACATTGTGAATGCAACCACCTCTATGACCTCTAAACTCATTTCACAGTGAGTTCTTTTCTCTATTACTAGGCCGAATTGAACATCAAAATGCCCTGTCAGTAGAAGGTGCAAATATTCTCACCTTGGCACTTTCCGCCATTGGTTGGGTCTCCGTGGTAACCGGGCAAGCACGTTTCGCAGTGAAGGCCGGTGGTGAGGTTACGGCACTGCTCGCACACACTGTTGTTCACACATGTACTGTGACCATTACACTGGCATGCTGAAAGATAAAAGTTGGTTGTTGAGGAAAATATTAAGCATTTGGAGTTTATAGTACTTTGATATGTTACACATTACTCTCAGTGTGTTATATGAACTAAGGAATCAAAAAATCCAGAGCATTCAAACTCTTTATGCCAAAGACCCCCAAATAGGAATGAAGGCCTCCTTTCCTAAAATATGAAGGCAGCTATTCATTTTCATTTACAAAAAAAAAAAACATTTATACTGGGTTAAAAATAGTGTAAAGACAAAATAAAGTGCTGTTTATTTTGTCAATGTAAAGCAATTTAAATAATATATTTTTTTAAATAAGACAAGATTTAAGTTGATGATTTATTATTATTTTTTTTTCAAAGAGTAAAGAGTAAAAACTAGTAATTAAAATTGGTGCTCAAGTACCATTTCTTTATCAATGTTTAAATCGGTTGTGCTACTTAATTTTTAGTGGAAACTAACTATATTTTTCAGTATTCTTTGATGAACAGCAAGCTATTTCAAATAAGTTTAAGTTTATCTGTAAAAATGTAAAAGTTCAAGTTAATGATTCCTTGCTGAATAAAAGTTTTACTTTCTTTAAAAATTCCTACAGACTATTGAATGGTACTGTATACCACAAAATAATATGTATATTGTATAATATGTATAGGACTGTCACCTTGATCTCACAATTTCTGGTCAGTCTTGAGAAAACAGAATAAAATAATACATTTATCACTTATCATTTATTGTCAAGCTAAACATATTTCATGAATTTATTAAATGTTAACTTTAACAGGTATAAAAAAAAATACATATATTTTCATCAAGTTTTTCAAACATCACGTAGCAGCCCTCTGTGACTTCTGGGGGTCCCTTAGCCGCAGTTTGAAAACCCCTTTTCGAACATTTGCTCTTTAATAAAGGTCAAGTGTGTGTGTGATTTTTTTAATATCTGTGGCTCTCACCGGGACACTGGATGAAGGCCCACTCAAAGCCACGCTCTTTTGGACAGAGCCCCGTCTCCAGGACCATGTCTTGGCTTTGTTTGGAGGGGCTCTTCATAGGTCCGCGATACGAACCCTCCATGCACTGCCCTCGGCCGGTATTACTTGGGTCTCCACACCAGCCACAGTCAGGCTGCTCCAAACACAGACCACATGTACGCAAACCAGAGCAGTTCTGAGCTGAAATGACAGAGAATAGAGTGGAAATAAGAGGCCAAAGAAAAGAGAAACAGAAAAGACTTGCTTAAAAATGTTTAAGCTCCCACGGGGTATATCACTACACTGACTGAGTAATGTGCTCTAAAATACCACCAGAAAGTTCACTCTGTCAAAAGAGCACATCAGAGCTATATGATGAGATGTCTCATCATCAGAGCCAGCCTCTTTCGGTTTGATCCACCACCCAGGCAGCCAATTCACACTCCTAGGATCTCAGACCACACAACAACAACCATTACAACACACAAAGTGTGTTCAGGGGCAACATGATAGCAGCCATAACAATGAAAAAGAACAATATTAGTCATTATAGCTGGCAGGAATTTATGTTTTTTTAACTGCAGGAGCTGACAGATCTTCAACAGGAACATATGATTTAACTTGGCATGCAATAAAAATCCTTTGTTTAGGGGTGAGGATATGTCTAGGGGGGTTAGGTGTTGAGAACAGGGAATAAAAAGGCATCCCTGCCGATTTAAATAATGGGTCACATTCATAGACACAAATTAATTGGCATCCCGCAAATGAAAGAGAGAGAGATGGCAGGTCAGCTAGCAGATATGACTGTTTTTAAAGTCACATTGTTACAAAGAAAACCATTTTTGCATTCATAATCTGTAAAAAAAAAGATTGATGACGTGTCTCTACTTCATTCCACTGTTGAAAAATCCAACCAAAATGTCCCAGAAATAGCCGTTGACATCTTGCGGCGATTATGTAATTTGGAGCCTGAGTCTGCGCAGTAATGAGTGCCATTTTTATAGCATCACATAACTTATGAAGACCATACTATTTAGAAAAACCAAAACTAGCTAAAATGACAGAAATCTTTGGGGAAAAAAATGTATTTGAAGTGTATTTGTCATAAATCGTTACATTTGAAGTGTCGCTGGCAATTGCGGAGAGAGACGGAGAAACAAGAGAGATGTGGGACAAATAGTCAAATATATTATCTCCGGCAAAGCGACAAGGACGTGGTACAAACCGACTATAAACAAATGCCCTTCAGACCAACAGAACAGTGGCAGCAGCCTCCAGATTTAAGAGCAAATATATCAGACTGATACAATATAGGGTCGACACACACAAGCTCCCCACGTCCCGGTGCAAATCACTGTCACGCAAAAATGTACACCTTCACAAGTATGAGTCAAACTCATCGAGGCATGAACCGACAGAGACAAAGGACCCTGAAGAGAAAAAGAAAGAAAAAAAACAAAGTGAGAGAGAAACAGAAAAACATGAAGCAGAAATAGATCTTTAAAATGGCACTGACACAGGCCAGGGCTTGTGGTGGAGCAGTTGAAACGTTAAGTAACCATCACTTGGACAGAGCGATACATTTTGGTGACAAAAAGATTTTCTCAGCCAGACAGATTTGCAGACTAGTACCACCTCTTTCTGCCGGAGAGAGCTTTTAATTCATTTTCCATCAGACTGAGCATAATGGAAGTTCTATCAGTAAGTCTAAGCCTGTCATAAGAACACACTACAGTCAGGAGACTGTACCTTACCTCACCAGATAGCCAGAGTGAAATACCTTATGAGCACTTAAAGCCTTAAGTCTGAAGGACAAACATAGCTTGGCATAACACAGGATATACAGAGCTGTGAATTAAATAAATGCGAAGCAAACTTTGGATTTGCACACAAGTGTTGTTTTGAAGCGAGTACACATTGGATATTAATATTTTGTAATTAAAGTGGTAGTCGCGTGGATTACTTTTATGATGTCTTTACTACCTTTCTGAGGCTTAAAAGTGGTAGTTGCATAGACTGTTAATAGAGTGACAGAAAGCTCCCAGATTTCATTAAAAAGATTTCTGTTCCAAAGATGAATAAAAGTTTTAACTTTTGGTTTGGAACGAGATGAGGACGAGTAATTAATCACATAATTTTCATTTTTAGGTGAACCAACGTTTTAATATTCCCTGCGCAAGATTTCCACCTAATGTTATTCACCATCACGGTTTCCTTAAAGTTTCAGTTTGTGTGCTGACATGTGCCATAAGAATCCATTCTTGAACAGCCAAGAGGGAAGAGTGAATGCTTAGGCAGACAAATTGAAACACTAATTGCACATTACAGGCGGATCAGAGGCCAAGCAGTTCAGCTAATGAGATGAAACAACAGATCTGATAGAGATGAAGAACCCACACAATCAAGGCTGCTGACAGGCACTGATTGGTTGAATCTTTCTCTGAAAGGCTCCACAGAGCAACTTTCTCATCACTGGGAAGAGAACACTCAACACTGAAACCCTTCCAAGAAATAAGTCTAACGGCTTCATGAGAAAACAGCTCCTCGAATTCATTCCAGTTTCATTCCAACATACAACATTTCCCACCATCAGTTAAAAGCCCAAAATATTCCTAAAAAGAAAATGAACTATTAAAAGGTACAATATGTAAGAATTTTGTAATAACATATCCAAAAATCACTTGCACAGTGTGATATATTTCTCGCAGTTGTGTACTTATAATATCCCAAAAGTCTCCAAAGATTTTAACTAAGAGGCCGTCCTGGGAAAAAAAGTCGCTTGTCAGTGGTGGAACATCCGCACGATCCTCGGTTTCCGTTCATTTCCGTTCATGGCGACAGACATGGACAACTGTGTAGTGCATAACCTTTAGCGGCACACGGTTCTTGTTTCTTTCAAACATCAACCATGGCAAACAGACTTTGGGACAAACGAGAACTAAAATGAGGATCAATATCAGTGAGGCGTTTTGAGATGCCGTGAGCTCCACGTCCGCAACTGACAGAGCTTCACGAGTCACTTGACAGCTTTATTAGACAGGTGAGCAAATGTACATAAAACAACTCAATGTTATATAATGTTAGCTCAACATGATGAAAAGTTAGTATATGGTCAGTGTGTTATTCTAATGTTGATCTAGCTTACAGCTAGTTTTGTATAGCAAACAATCTGCGGGAGCAATCGCGACCTGCTTCATTCCACTGTCATGTTAAATAACATGAATGTTTGCACTCCATAAAAATTATTAGATCCATCAGCTTGACAGCAAGTCCCATAATTCAGCTCATCACTGCGTCATCAACCTACGCCTTTGTTATTGTTGGAAGCCACACCCTCTTGTGGTGCAAAAAAACTACATATTGTGCCTTTAATTATTAAACAATTTACAATTGATTATTTAAAAATATATACTATTTATTTAAATATGTTTTTGAAAGAAGTTTATTGTACCCAGCAAGGCAGCATTTATTTAAGCAAAAATACACCAAAAAAACAGATATAATAATTGTTATAGTAATAATAATAATAATAACATAAAAAATAAAAATAAATAAATAAATAAATAAATAATTATTATTATGTAATTAATTTCTGTGATAGCAAAGCTGAATTTTCAGCATCATTACTCCAGTCTTCAGTGTCATGTGATCCTTTGGAATTAATTTTTAAATTAAAAAAGAAAGATTTTTTTTTACTACCACTTGTAGGTTCATTTTGTTTATATTTTGGCTGCTACCAATTATAATGCAGTACTATTATTGCTAGTACATTTAACACATTTTTAATGTGTTCAGTTCCCTAAAAAAAAAAAAAGATAGATAGATAGATAGATAGAATTAGATAGATGGGGCTATTTATAAGAAGTGACGGCCACTATATGTAAATAAGGACACTCACACAAACAATCTCCTGTCTGCCACTCCAGACACTGGCCGTAGGGAAAGGAGATGACGTAGGCATTGGAGTCCACACAGCGTTTGGTGCTTCCACACCACATGCACTCCATGGCCTGGCTGGTGCAGTTCTCACAGGTGGTGCGCAGCGAGCAGGGCATCTTACAAGGGCGAGCGTTCTGATTCGGGCTCACTGCAGAAGAGGAAATATGTATGAGGTTACTGAACAGGGAATGCTTATGTATATGGGCACATTTCCAAGCACTCACTGAAAAATAAAGGGAATAGGAGAATGGAATCGGTACTCACCGACTGGTTTCTCACAGATGAGGCCGTCTGTGTTGGCTGTGCAGGGATTGGCCCTGAGGCCAGACACCTGAGCTCTTTCCAGGTAAGCACAGAAGCCTGAGTCATTTGGCTCACCAGGCAGCCACTGCAGAGAGGTGTTAGTGAATGGAGACATGTCCTCCCAGCCCCAGTATGACACGTTGATCTTCCTTAGGCCAACCCAAGGGGACAGTTTCTGCAGGACAAATGCAAAAGAGTCACAGAAAGAGTTAAACAATTTTGAAGAGAGGATACATCAATCATAATTATGTCAATAGAATGTGAGTATACACTACCATTCAAAAGTTTGAGGTCAATTTCCATTTTTTTGTTTTGTTTTTAATTAATACTTTAAGCAATGATGCCTCAAATTGATCAAAAATAAAGATTTTAAAATCTTAAAAAAACATATCTATTTCAAATAAATGCTGTGCTTCAGAACAATTAAACAGCACAGTTGTTTACAACAACGATAATAAATGCTTCTAAAGCACAAAATCAACACAACAAATTGTAATAATATTTCAAATTATTACAGTTTTACCCTTTTTATTTCCTTTTTATAAATGCAGTCTTGGTGAGTTTGAGACTTTTTTACAAAAACTGTTCCAAACTTTTGAACGTACTGTAGTAGTGTACATATGAGAATTTAGTAGTGTACATATGAGCAGACACAAACCTTTCCCTTCAGCAGGTACTTCTGTAGTTCGTCCAGCACAAAGTCCACCTGCTTGGCTGTGGTAAGGGAGGCGATGTTTCCCTCCAGGTTCTTGCAGTAGTGCTGAGCATTGTCATAGCTCTCCCTGCTGGAATTGATCTGAAGACAGGCCTCCCCAACATTGCTCCAACCGTCTCCACACAGCTGGGCTACATAGAGTTCATGAGATAGAGGAATAAGGAGCTTTTATCTCAAGCCTCATTTTTTTCCCCATTTCTCGTTTGATCTCTGCTCTTCAGAGACAGCAGGAGAGCTCTTAACATGATGCAAATTACTCTGTAGAACCAAGAGAAACTCTAAAAGGGCCAATAGCTAATTCAAGCAAAGTGGCCGGTTATAGAAATTTCCACAGTGATAAATGCCAGGCACAATCATAATGAATCATTCAGCAAACTTACAATTCAAAGAAGACAAGAGGTATCCTGATTGTCAAGTTTCTTCAGGTCAGAATTTACAAAGAGCACAACACTCACAAATTCAAGTACAACCAAATTGAAAATACGAAACAAAATTAGTAGAGGTAAGGGGTGTCTTTAAATCTGCCAAAAACAGGCTGTTTTTGTTAGGACCGTTCTGTCTAGACAACCTTTTAAGGTGCACTCCTGACACATAGGCCCAGTTTAAACCTGACATTAAGATGCGTCTTGGTCGATCGGACCACAAGTGGACGATGCTAAATACTGGTGTAAAACGTTTTGTTCTTGTCCACTTTCGAACACTTCCAGAGGTAGTGGACCAGATTGCTTTCGTAGTGTAAACGCTCATGTGGTCAAATGTATTCAGGCAGCCACAAAAGACTGCCTACTCTCCGCCTACTGGCCTAACACGTAAACATTATAGGGAAACGCTAGCCAGACAGAATTTAAACTTTGTCGGTAGGAGAACCAAGTTTGGTTTGAAGACGAAAATCATACCAAGCACAATGTTCTCTTACCATTCCTGATTTCTAAAACAAGCTATCGCATTTGGCGTGATCTTGCGGCTGTCAGAGCAGAAACGAAAGCTGCTGCTTCCTGTATGTGTTTCCGTTGTCTCTGGGCACGTTCATATATAAATTGCGCGACCTTATTGTGTCCATTAGATCGAAAGATCTATACATTTACCTGCCCATAGACCCTGTAATCGAATGAAGAAATCAGGACAGAAGTGGTTAAAGTGTACAAAAGAAATAGATTAAAACACCAGGTATAAACAGTTATGTCTCCCCCTCAACTACTTGTGATTCAATTAATCAAATTGCATCTTAAAACCAAGTGTAAACAGGACCAAATGCTGCTCCAAAAAGATAGCTAGCTTCTTTTGGCCAATATATAAGCCCACAATGCACTGTAGTAAGCTCACTGAATAAAATTAATCTAAGATGGCAAATGAGTGTGTATAAACTCTGAATTTTACCCAATAAAAGTATGCTGCTTATTTTATGCTCATGTCCTTAACTTGGCAGCATGTTAATGGAAAACTCGACTGGAATCAATTGTGAATTATGAGTGAAAAATGCTTGAAAAGCCTAATGACCATCAGTGTCTGTTCACAAAATAAAATAAATCTCTCCCACTATCCTCTACCGTTCTTACCAGGAAGTGTGTGGCATTCCTGCTGCTGAGGATCCCATTGGCAGCTGAGGTTGAGAGAGCAGCTCTTGCAGTTGGCCATCTTACTGCAAATCTGCTCATTCCTGATTGGACAGTTGGTGAAATTCTTTACAGTCTAGTAAAAAGAAAGTCAAAAGGGTTTAACAAACACAGGATTACTAGCACAGAGTTGTGAAGTGTAGCATTGATGCCCTCTGCAGGCCGACTTACAGCAGTGCAGTTACTGAGAGCTGAGATGCATTTCTTGCTGTCACACCACTGACATCCATTAGTGTTGGCAGTACAGCTGGTGCAGTCTGAGAAGCGGTAACATCTCTCATCCACCGTGGCTTGAGCAGAGACAAATTGAAAAAACAAAGAAGAAAGGCTGAGATGAAGAGCTTAGTGCAAAAAACGACAGTCTTAAGTATTAATATCAAATATTAAAACAGCTATGAGGCATACATTAATCTAGAGAGACATCTAAACTCTTTCAAAGCCAACTCTCATATCAAGACCGCTAACCAAAGTAGAAGAGAAACATTTACCACTTCAAACACCTTCCATTCCCCATTTACGGTACTTACTAATCGCATGACTTCAGACAGTGGGACTTATGTAAAGGATCAAAGAAGCCTCTGTTCTACGACTCTCTGCTTTGACAATGCATTATTCAATATTTAAAAGTGTCTCCATGTCCTTACTTCACTACAGAAACATTTGCTTACCGGTCCTTGGACTTAACTGTTCTCTCTCAAACACAGCTCAGCAAAATATCCTACACAATTGATTGAAACAGTAAAGACTTCTACATTGATACATGATGTTTCTGTCACATTTGATCGATTTAATGCATCCTTGTTGGATAAAAGTAATGGCTGTCTCTCCAACAGCAAAAAAAAATAATTGCAGTGATTACTACAAACTCTACAAACTCTATACTACAAACGCTTTTGCAGTGAGAAACCCTGTTTTTAATCACATGCCCATATTTAATAGTTTGTTGAATTTTTAAATATAAAATAAATATTTTAAAATATATATATATATTAGGGCTGTGCAAAAATTAATTGCGATTAATCACATCCAAAATAAAAGTCTGTGTTTACATAATATATCTGTGTGTGTGCTGTATATAATTATTTTGTATATATAAATACACACACATGCATGTATATATTTAAAAAAATGTGTTATTCATATATAAAATATTTATATTTATATAATATAGATTATGTATTTATATACAGAATTTAAGCACAAATAATTCTTAAATATATACATGCATGCATAGGTATTTATATATACAAAATAATTATATACAGCACACACAAATATATAATGTAAACACAGACTTTTATTTTGGATGCGATTAATCGCAATTAACTTTTGCACAGCCCTAATATATATATATATATATATATATATATATATATATTAAATTGCAAATAAAACAATTATATCCTTTAAAAAATGCCAAACATTTATTTACTTATTTTATGTCACTGAAATAAAAGTGTAAGTGTTGTATCTACTTAAGATTGGTGAAACTTTAATCAGTGACTGATTTATTCAGTCTTTTTGACTGATTTTTTTTTTTTTTTAAAAAACTGGATTCTATATTCTATAAACATAATTCATTCGGAAATCTGACAACATGAGTGCTCCAGCGTCTATGCATTATTACAAATTCATAGTACACTCTTTATCGTATTTGATTTAATTTAGACGGCAGGTTCACATTTTTCCCATGGCACTTGAGATTCAGCAGCGGCAGACAGGGGTGAAGAAAACACAGACACACATGCAACACAAACAAGGCTAGCGCTGCCAGGGATTATCCCAGCATGCACCACTCAAGACCTCAGGTTTGAATTTCAAATTAAACAAAAAGCCAAATACTGCATTAGCTGGAGGTCCACACACTCACTCTCAAAGACTAAATTCTGGCTGGTTGTGTTCTGACATGTGGCAAAAGATCAAACCGACTGGCAGTCTTGCAGAGCAAAGAAGGGTTGCGGGAAACCGTCCTGCTTCTGCTTCAGACAGCTTGTGCCCCTGCCATTACCCTCTCAAAATAATAATTGTAACTATACAACAATGTAATAATACAATGTAATTATATAGTGCTTTTCTGGGTACTCAAAGTGCTTTACATAGAAGGGGGGAATCTCTTCAACCACCACCAATGTGTGGCAGCCATATTGCGCCTGAACGCCCACCACACACCAGCTTCCTTGGTGGACAAAAAAAAAAAAAAGTTTGGTTCCGGTTGGTTGTCAGTTGGTCATGGGTTGGAAGGGATTTTTTTTTCTCCAGTTGCAGCAAGGGATAGGAAGGAAATTATGGGGTTTTTTTATTTTACTTTATAGTACCGATGGATAAGCTACTCTTTTACTACTATTTTTTCATAACATAGCCTGTATGTCCCAGCATACACACACACATACGCTGATTTAAAATGTGTGCGCGGGGGCAAAAGGGGATGCCTTTTTGTAAAGTGTTACAGATTATACACAGATTCAGACGTCTTGTGAGTTCAGTGTGGGAAAGATCAGTTGTTTTAACCATTCATTAAAACTAATTGTTTCAAATGAGTCAGCAAATTGGACGTGTCATTATCGGACGTGTGCGCATTGTGATATTATCCACAAGATCACAGAAAACATTTCATCACTGGATAGTTTTTTCGTTTATTTAAAGTGTGGTTTATGTCATCTGAATGTGTGGAACACTTTTCAGAGAAGATAAGGCAACATGTTTTAGCACAATTCCCACCCAGCGGTAATTCAGGAAAAAAGAAATCTTTGAATGCTCCACATGAAACTTGAGTCTTCCGACCCTGCCCCATCGTGTCGGTTTATTTTGATTAATATGTGCGAGGGAGAGAGAGCAAGCCTATACTTTTGTCTGGCTCCGAAGAGAGTGCACGCACGCACGCTCTCTATCTCTGCTCGTTCAGTTCATGCGTCCTGTCACAAGCGCAGCAGTGCATCAGCTACATGACAACAACGATTGGTTGCCTCGATGGTTAGCATTGCTGGAGGACAACAGGCTATACAAATACGGTGCTGAACAAAAACATAAATTATAGTTTGACTCAAAGTTTTTTATTTGTGGATTTATTTAACTTGTATTATTTCTTCCCCAAGCTCATAAAAAAAATGTAGGTCAGACATAAATTGATGGTCCAAACAAGATTTTTTTTGCCTGATGAAGCCAATCAGTATATGTGGCCACTGGGCAAATTAGATTTTTGTGACCACAGAGAGTCAGGACCTCGGTTTAACGTCTCATCCAAAGGACAGTGCTCTTTGACAGTATGGTGTCCCCGTCATTACACTGGGGCATTAGGAGGACCCAACACAGACCACAGGGTGAGCAATCCAGCTGGCCTCACTAACAATTCTTCCAGAAGGAACCTGGTTTTCCCCAGAAGGTCTCCCATCCAGATTCTAACCCTGCTTAGCTTCAGTGGGCAACCAGTCTTGGGGTACAGGGTGATATGGCTGCTGGCCAAAGCTGTCTGTCTCTCATTAACACAGCCAGTGCACAATTTAGCAGACAAACCCAAGGGCTTAGATCACACAAGACTGATTTCTTGGCTTGGGCATGGTAGAAAATGTTTTAGCTGAGGGTGGCAGCTACTAAACCCCTTCCAGACACTTACCAGCTTTGGCAGGGCAGAATGGAGCAGGTGTAGCACTGTTAGTGAAGCTGGGCTCCCAGGACACGCAGCGGCCCCCTTTCCAAACGCAGCGCACACCAGGGCCTGCAGCCTCACAACGCACCTGACCAAGGAAAGCCTCACAGCTTGGCGGCCTGTAGATCAGTACGTCATTCAGAAGGATGCTAGAGAAACCCCCAAACACATACATGGATCTAGAAAGAGAAGAAGGTAAATACAGTTGAGTAGACAACAACCTTTTGCGAGAGTGTATGTGTGTGTGTGTGGGTGGGAGGGGTCTTACCCATTACTGGTTACTGCTGTATGTCCAAAGCGATTCACGTCTCTGTGCAAGTTTGGTTTGGGAAGGACCTTCCACTCATCACACGCTGAAACATAGAAAAAATAAAACTATTTTGACCAAATTATTGTAAATGACTTTTTCATGGCATTTTCAATTAATTTGTGATTACGGTAAGACAAAAAAAGAATGGTTTCGGACTGCTGTGGTGTGAACCAGTTAACCATGTCATTAAGTAGAACCAGTTTAGGAATGATTTGCTCATAAATCTAATCTATAACTATGCAATATATTCATATTTTAGAACATAGAAAAAAAAACTAAAATGTATTTTCCTGAAGGGAATCCCTATTGACTTTAATAAAATATTTCCTGGACAACATAACTTTTTAATTATCTGATATATTTCTTTGGCTTTCCATGTGGGAATGCTGACAACTGTACACTACCGTTAAAAAATTGGGGTCAGTACTTTTTTTTTTTTTTTAAGACATTAATACTTCAGCAAGGATCTATTAATTTGATTAAAAAAAAGTGACAGTAAAAGGCTTTTACATCATTAAAAAAAAATATAGATATTTCAAATAAAAGTTGTTCTTTTTAACTTTCTATTCATCGAAGAATCGTAAAAAGAATCCACAAAAATATTAAGTAGCACAACTGTTTTCAACATTGATAATAATGATAACTGAAGACTGCAATATTGGCTGTTTAAAATTCATTAAAGCAAATTTAAACTACATTTTTAAACTAATTTAAATATTTAAAAATATATAGTGTAATACTAGTACTTCACAATATTAGCTTTTAATGTATTTTTGATCATATAAAAGCAGCCTTTTACAGTAGGGATGGGTATCGATAATAATAAATAATGAGTGTATTTTTTTAATTTCTCCAGTACCGATAGAAGAACCGATAACGTCCGAGCTTATCGATACTGCAGTCTTTCATTATTTAGCTCCGGGACTCATTTAATACCAGGTTTTGGTACCCATCCCTTTTGGTGAGCAGAAGGAAATATCCTTCAAAAACATTAAAAATCTTACAGACCTCCAACTTTCAACAGCAGTGTATGTCAAAGGTATAGCAAAGTACCAGCACAAACCAATGTCATAGGCGAGAAAGTCAGCAGAGAAGCACTTGGCTCCATTGCTAAGGGACGTATCATTATGGGTATTTCCTCCAAAGATGAGTAGAGTTCCTCCCAGCAGCACAGACGAATGCAAGTAACGTGGGTAACCGCTTTCCATAAGAATCGTCCTGTGACGCACAACAAACAACATCAAACTGATGCATCAAAACTGAAAACTAACTGAACTATATGTGTATCCTCTAAATTTTTTTTTCCCTTGAATATGTATATGCACTCTTACCAGGTCCGGGTCTGAACCTCATAGCGGTAAAGATCATCCACCAGCCCGTATTTGTTTGCTGGGAGAGATTTGTAGCCTCCGTGGACGTACACACTCTTGCTACTGCTGTCGTACACACTGCTATGGCCATAACCACCCTGAGCGATTGCTCCTCTAGTCTCTGGCACCAGCCACGTGTTCGTCCCTGTGCACAGAAACAAAATAACTTTCTTTAAATGTGCACCTTTAAGTCAAGGATTTTCTTTAAACGTTAAACACATTTTGCCTCTAACCAGCATGTTTCGGTACAATGAGTGGAATAACAATGAGTAACCTCTTGCCAATAGAATATGGTTTGAGTTCACAACAAAGATTATGCCCTGATCCAAGAGTTTAACATGACTAAAAAAGGTAAAGATTATTTAAATGCTTTAGACTGAGAGACACACAGTCTCTGGATACATTTTTTGTTCATTGGTCTTTGCAAAAACCACAGCTTCATCTACTGGACCACTTGTGTAAAATAAAATAAAAATCGAATCCATTTCAACCCCTGCAGACCTACTTGTTTTACTGTTGCTCTCAAAAGTTGCCAATATTGTCTTTAAAAAACAACAATTGTACAATCTGTGTTGTTATTGTTAACTAAAACTAAGTTAATTGAAAATTAATTAAATAACTAAAAAAAAAAAGACCAAACTTAAAATTAGACCATGGCAACTAACTGAAAAAGAGGTCTAAAGTGAAGTACTAAAATTAGTAAAACTGAAATTTAAAAAACTAATAAAAATGACAAATGTGCATCCAATTAAACAAACTAAAATTAAAATGGAGACAGTAAAAAATAAAACCTATTTCAAAATATGACTAAACACTATAATAACACAGTGATACAATACTTGCAGAACCTTTCAAACAAATAAACAAAATACACCATAGTCAGTCACTCACTGATGTTGTACTCCTGAACATTGCTGATGTAGCTGTAGATGGAGGAGTAGCCGAAGATGACCACCATCACCACATCGCCGTTATCCAGCTCCACCATATGGGCGGAGTGGCCTTCCACAGCATAGACCTGCCCATGGGCTGGCACACTGGGGAACTTCTGCGACCACGTCATGACGGGTATGTTAAACACCCAGAGCTCATCTGTTACGTTACTGGCACCCATCTCCAACTTTCCTCCAAACATATAGATGTCATCCTGAAAGACAATAAAGTTTGAATCTACTGGTAAATATTCTAAAGTTCCCATATTTTTCTTTCAGCTAGGGCTTCCAAAATTAATGTGTTAATGCACGTGATCAATATCTTGAATGATGTTTCATTTGGTTTAGTATATTTTCTTTATACTTGTGGTCATAGACCAAACAAGAGCATTTACACTCCCGTTCAAAGGTATTTTTTAAAAATGTTTTTGAAAGAACTCTCTGATGTTCAACGAGGCTGAATTTATGTGATTTAACAATATTACAGTTTTTAATATATATTTTTAATGTTTTCTATTTTACTACAATTTAAAATGTTATTTAATCCTGTGATGAAAAAGCAGATTTTTCAGAATCAATGGATTACAGCCATTTAGCATAAAGACAAAATATTGTAAACACTTATGTTACCCGATATAGTGCCAAGGAGTGTCCATATCTCGGCAGGGGTCCGCTACTGATGGGTACAGTATTCCAGATGCCACTTTCCAGATTATAACTGAAAAGCAAAAAAAAAAAAAAAAAGTGTTAACATTTCTTTCTTTTACCAGTTCATTTGGGGAAAAATCCACTGTGATGGCTTCAGAATTACACAAATTACCCATTATTACAGTAGTTAGTTAGTACAATAAGTCACACTCCAAGTTTTGACTGAAATAACATATCCATATCCACAATATTGCTAACGCTCCCTATAAAAAGAGATCGCTCTGAGAATATTCAGACTCACAGCTTTTATCCTCAAACTAACAGATTATTCAAAGTCTACTCCTACCACAGGCTCACGTTGATTTATCATTAGCATTATGATAATTACTGCGGTTTTATTTTTGGATTATTTTCATTGTATGGAAGCGCATATGCAAATAAGCCTTGTGCATAACATGAACTGGGTTATGCTGTAACCCTACACAGCGTTCCGAACTTCCTTTAGAATCACCACTTACTTTAGAATCATCTGAAAGTTGCTGTAGTTAAACGTGTAGCCACCGACAACCCACATGACCTTTTCCTGCACAACCGTCTTATGGGATGCTCTTCCCAGCGATGCTCCAAAAGGCTTCACTGTGGGCATGATCCAGTAAGACTCAGTGGAGGGCACTGTTAGTGAGCAGTCTGGACCTGAGAAAAAGAGACAGATAAATCGCTTGTACAATAATCTAAAGGCAGAGTTTCCCAAAATGGGGCTTCACAGACCTCTGGGGGTTCACCAGGGAACTGCAGGGGGTTGAAAAGCTTGTAAATTAAAATAAATATAAAACATAAAGCACTGTTTATGCACTGTTTCAGATGGTGTCGTGTCGTAGGCCGTTCACAGTGTTTTCAACATCAGAGTGGCTCGGTTCACAGTAAATGCTGCTTCTCGTGAATTCAATCTTTGTATGTGCAGAGTTTAACGTGCAATAAAATGTGTGCTAGGTTCGCTTTATTTACACATTCCCATAATTTACAACATTTCTGTGGATAGGAGTTTACAGCATTTCACCAACATTCTGCCAAAATAAAAGCTTTAAAAGCAAAGAACTTAAGAAATAAAAACGTCACATAAACAAACAGGTAAGCAAGCCTCGTTCTAACCGCTTGTCGGAGAGAGTGTTAAAGACAGAACGAACTTGCGATAATATATATGGCCTTTTAAGGTATTTAGCTAACCTAGCTAGTAGTTCCTTTTATTGTACATGCTAGTTAGTGAGAAGAAAAATAAAAAAACCTTTAGATATCAATCTGCATATGCAATCAGTTGTGCTCATCTTTGCTGGCTCCTTTGAAGGTATATTAGTTAAGATGGCTCTATATTTAACAAAGAACATTCAAAAAACACTGAACTAGAAGCAACACAACCTATTTTATAGAATAGGGCAGAATAGAAGTCTGTTCTAATTATCAAATATTATATATTTTTTTTAATTTCACAGGACAACTGTAATTTACAACAGTTATATATTTATATAATAAATAATACAATAAACCCTATATAAATAATCTTCAAATAAAAAGTATAAAAAAACATGTATTAAAAAAAATATATATTATATCTGTTTATTAGCATTTCATGCTACCATTAACCAAAATCAGAGAACCATGGACATGCCAGTGCCCTTAAATTATTGAAATATTAACTTCAAGTTTCAATAATTTATTGCCAAGTCAACAAAGTTCATAGGAATTTGTCTTGGTACAACTCTCAGACATAAATAACCAAAAGACAGACATCATAAATACATCGACAAGGAACCCAACAATCCCCAGCAACCCTAGGGCATAGGACCAAAACCCTTATACCCCATGGCAGAGAAAGTGCCTTGAAATATTAACTTAAAATATTTATTTGAAGTGCCCCTGACATTTTATGTCTAACGGCCAATTCATACTGCGCCAGCAGATAGCAACAGACACGGCGTCGGGTTTTGTTGGCCGGAGCTTGTTTTCGTCGATTGAACATGCCGAAACGGTGAGCTTATAGAATGTTAGAGAAGTGACGTACTGTAATCTGGTGATTGTCTGAATTGGTTGGCGTCTGTCGGTGCAGTGTGAATTGGCTTTAAGGGGTTCAGTAGACCAAAAGGTTTGAGAACCCCTGATAGGTAACATTAATTTCATTATATTTAATCTTATGAACGGATGACCGAAACAGACCAGGTCTGGCCGCTTCTTATGGTCATTGCTATGAACATTCACATCTCATGTGTCTCCACTTGAGGCTTAGTGAGAGCATTGTGGCTAGAAGGACTAAGTTGGCTAGAAAGCCTCAATTAAAAATTAAATTAACCTTAAGGCATCCTGATGTCAATTCTCTATCACGCTTTGACATTTTGTGTCATTGTGGCAAAAGATTTGTGGCCTGATGAGGATGCTGCAGTGATGCAGAGGTGAGGGATGTACTATTTAAAAAATCAACACCAGGGGGAGACAACACACAACAACAAAAACTGCCTGAGACACAATGCTCTGTTGAGAACATGAAACTGGAAAGGTGTCAGATTTTCACAGCATCCTGTAGTGGAAATGAGAGTGGAAGTGAGTAGTACCTTGCCAGCTGTCATTGCACACGCACAGCTTTTCCCCGGTGAGGTCACAATAGCCGTGATCGGGGCTGCCACAGTTGTTCCTGCAATACGGGATGTCACAGGCCTCACCCTTCCAGTACTTATCGCATTCACAATACACACGGCTCGCTATCGAGTTCCCCGAGGTGCACTTCCCGTGGCTCGAGCAGTTATTTGGACATGAGTTGATTCTGTCAAGGGAGAGATGAAGAAAGAAGGTTGTACAAGGGGGAAGTTGGTACACAGATGCAGGGAGGGAAACCTGAAATGGGGGAGGGTATATTGAACAGGACTAATCTGTGATTACACTGAGAATAAAACAAGCAGGAAGGCGATAAAATTAAGACCGCTGTGAGATTACGTGTTTAGATATTAACACTAAACCAAATCAGCAGGTTTTCATTAACTCTGTTGTCCCAGCGTGGCGGAATACTCACGAGTAGAAGATTTCAAATCCCGTCAGGTTGTAGGCAGCATCGCTAAAAAAGTGCAGGAGTGCGTAGCCTGAGTTGGTCTCCACTTCAGGGACGGTCTCGTTCCCTTTCAGTTCGGGGACAATGAGTCCACTGTGAGACAATTACAAAAAAAAATAGAAGCTGGTTAGGAAATGTTCACTCAATCTTCCTTAAAAGCAGTAACTTATTCCACTTGTTATGCAGTAAAGTGACATTTTCCTGTGTGACTCTAGGAATGAGGTTTTCAACTTCCAAAACAGTTCAAAAGAGGCACTAAGGAGTGCTATGGGGTCCACCAAAAAATGTGGAAAGGAAAAGACTTAAAATAAGCCCTAAACTAATTTTTTAGGGCTTTCAAAGTTAACATGTTGACTTAACATATTTATTAAATACGTTTTATGCAATAATTTCTTAGCATACCTAGTGCTTTGAAATTTATATTGAAAAGTGTTTTACAAATAAATTACAATGTTTATTGTCAGGTTTATACACTACCGTTCAAAAGTAGTCTAGGTAGCAAAAATACAGGGAAAAAAAGAAGACTAATGCTATGATATATATTAGATGAAAAATAAAATTATTTTGAATGTCAATGACATCTTTTTAAAAGGAAATTTATTCCTGTTATAGGAAAGCCAAATTTTCAGCATTAATCCAGTATTCAGTGTCACACGATCCTTCGGAAATCATTATAATATGCTGATTTGATGCACAAGAAACATTTCTTATTATTATCAATTTTGAAAACAGTAGTGCTGCTTAAAATTTCGAGAAAACCTAGATTTCAGAAAGTTTTTATTATTTATTTTTTTCATATGACATTATTTTTTATGTCTCTGTTGTCTGGTACAAAGTTTGCACTTACATTGTAGTATTTTCTTATGTTATTTTGTTGTTATTTATGACAATGACAAATAAAGAACAAATCAAAAGAACAGTATTGATTTTAACCTTAAAATGTCGTCTTTTTTGTAGGATTATAATTATTTTGTAGGATTACAATTTTTTGTATGATTGCAAGTGTCATTACTGTCAATTTTGTTCAATTTAATGCATGCTTGCTAAAAAAAAAAAGTCATATAACTGACCATTTTGCAAGATGTAAACAACACTGGTCCAGAAGCACTTCCTGTTTCAGTTTTTTAACACTACACAAAAGTTGGGATAAAATACAACCAACAGAACATGTAAAACTGAATCAAAAAGTTAAACAACAACTTTAAGATGTTTTCTTTACATGTGATATAAAGAAAACAGTTACAAACTGAAACAGGAAGTGTTTCTGGACCAGTGTTGTTTACATCTAGCAAAATGGATCTAACGGTAACGCTTCCTTTTACAGTACGGTACTTACAGGGTACTTACAGTGTACTTACCTAGAAAGTACTGGCTAATATAAGGTAAGTACATGGAACAGGGGTAGGTTTAGGGGTAGGTTCAGGGTTAGTACTAGTTATTACCCAGTAATTGTAGTTACTACAATAAGTACATAGTACATGGGTAACTGGACTGTAAAAGGAAGCGTTACCGATCTAACATTATTAGTGTACAAAAAAAAAAACAGAAATTCTGTCAAATTAATCCAAATATTTATAGTAATTGTCAGAGGTGCGAGTAAGTCACTAAATGCAAGTCTCAAGTCAAGTCCAAGTCTTAACATTGCAAGTCAAAGTCAAGTCAAGTCATTCTGTTGTAAGGGTCAAGTCAAGTCATACTCTGTCAAGACAAGTCAAGTTGCAACTTGGTCATCAAGTCATCCCAAGTCGCACACAGGCTAGTTTTACACATTTTTTAACTCTGGGACTTTTATTTAGACACAGAGGGCTGATGGGTTGCAAAAATTAATAAATTAACTTGTGTGTAATAAATAAAATAATTAAAAAGCACTTTAAATGCTCAAAAAATAAAAATAAATTAAATTAAATGAACACAAGTAAACAAGAATACAACTTTTCCCATCTTGTAAAAAAAATATATAAATAGATAAATCACAGCTTCATAAAGAGAAATCTTTCTTGTCTCTGTGAGAAGTATTTACGGAGTTACAGTTCATTTTTCGGATGAGTTTCAGAAAGATTTTTTGCGGCGACAGAGTGAGCTGAAAGCGCTGCGCACCCTGTTTATTTTATTTATTTTACAAAAACACAAGGTTTTGATGTTAATAAGAGTGCACACAAAATAAGAAGACCCTCTATAGTTTATAATCATGTATTGATTTTTTTTTATAAGACAATTAATGACGGAGTATTTTAAGTCTATGTTGAAGCTATGTGAAAAAATAAACTATCAAAACGCGGGGGCGCGTTTTTGGTCCTCAGAGGGTTAAAAACAACATGTCTTTATAACAACACATTCAATATTTCTCTCACACAGTATAAATGGGTCTTTATGCATGAACACACATAGCTGCCATTATATTTTAGGAAGGGGGTACTAGGCACCAAGAAGTCTGAAAACCCAGTTTTCAGTTTTAGAAAACACACTCACCTTAAGACAGCAACTAAGGGAGCATAAATAGAGTCTCCATCATAGACGTACATGTGGTCCCAGCTACATTCGGTCGCAAAATGGTTAAACCGTAACCTCAGGACTGCATTTGGGCTGCAAAACAAAGGTGATGACATAATGCTTAAGAATGTGTTGCTGGCTGCATAATCCATTATGAGAACATATTACAGCAGACTCATTTCTGCCAAGTCTGAAGGGTGCAAGGCGGAATGTGCTCGTCCAAGCCTTTTCTGGTAACCCAACACAGAAGAAAACACCCTTGTAAGGCCTGCTGAAATCTATTTAAATAGGGGGTTATGCAAGAGAGAAGTGTGGGCACAACAACTCTGGTGAGAAAGAGAGAGGATGACAGAATAACACTTACTAGCCCTCAATCAGCCAGGTGCACTTTGTTTTGTACTTGTAGTTGATGGGGCCATCCGTTAGGTACCCGGACGGCTCAGTCAACCTGAAAAATAAGATCAGAGTTGCCCTTCACATTAAATCGATCCCGTGGGACTAACAGAACAATGCGTAAGAAAAGAAGCCAGAGGCGCTGCGGAGAAGTGCTGTTTCAGTACAAGTATGCACAACGATGAATATGGTTTCTGTGGTTACTTATGGCCATATGGACACAGGCTTGTGTGGGAGCAGATCCACAATGATTCACTGCTGTAAATGTGCTCATGACACAGGCCTAACCAATCAGTTGCCTCTCCCTCCAGACTGCAACAGAGCCATCGGTCCATGGAGTGATAGCGCTTGGATCCATATTGCATCATCATGGAACACTCAGGGCCTGTCTGTGTCGTGGACCACATTAACCGCATCAAGCTGACGGCATTGTTTGCCCAGACAAGGCCTATTGTTTGTAGATGCCGACTTGAAGGGATGCATCGTTCTAAACAATGACCTCAATATTCCACAGACACACTCTTAATTGAACACGTTATTGCTGGCTCAACTTCTCTGGCTGAATTCTACAAGGTCATCAATCTAAGTGACATTGCCGAGAGCTTCTGTCCTGCTCATCTTTAAGAGAACTGAATCTTAGAGTAAAGGTAGCCAACACACATTAATATTCACATGATATCTTAGCATTACTATGATACTTAAAAATAAATTGTAATTTCCATGCCAAATAGAACTGCAAGTAAAGAAATATAACATACATCAAAATGTAAAGGTCATGCAGGTTTATTAACTTCTATTCTCTACTGATAAACTGGAGATGCTCGCTATCATTCTATCATGTTGCATTTTTTTTGTAATTCTGCAGAGTAAATTGAATTATTAATTCTCATTCATGTCCCTGACAACAGCGTACAAGAGAATGTCATTGAGTGAGCGTTTGCCTGTCTGTATGTTTATCCGTTCATTTCTTTTAATGTTTAATGTAATTATTAAATCTGTATCTTCCTCACGTTACAAATGTATTTCTTGACAGACTTTTACCTTTACTGGTAAGCTAAAAAGTAAATTTTGCCAATTTTCCATTACAGCGGATATTAGATCCGAATAAGGTGTTACATCACATCACATCACATCAGAATTATGATTAAAACAAGGTTTCTAGAAACAATATTGTTGGCCTAATTTAACTGTCGGTGAGATCAACATAATAATGCCCATCAAAAGTTTGGAACCAGCATAGGCAAAGTGGGATTTCGGACAATGTCAACAAATTCTTTATCTTTATTTCTAGAATGAATTCACTTATTGAAGCACTTATTTAAATCAATAATATTTCTTATTAATAGCCATACACATTTTTGAATGCTTTTGAAAGACTGCATTTATTTGATCAAAAATACATTAAAAACAGTGAAATATTGCTACCATTTAAAATGACTTATTATTTTAGCATAAAAATTTCTTATTATCAATGTTGAAAACAGTTGTGCTGCTTAATATTTATGTTGAAATCATGATGCATTTTCCCATAATTCTTTGATGAATAAAAAGTTCAAGAAAAAAGTTAATAAATAGAAAATAAATTCAATTAATATATAACAAAATAAAGTCTTTACTGTCACTTTTGAAGCAAAATGCATTCTTGTTGAATAAAAGTATTAATTTTAATCACACCACACAACAGACCAATTAGAATACTCTTTAGACGGATTATATAGCCTATATTTTTCTGTTTTTAATTTTATAAAATATACTTTAATTGTTTGTGTTCCCCTATCCATCCAAAATCATCACCGAATTACAAAGATTCTGACTTTCACTTTCATATGCCATTCAAAACTTTTTAGGGTGCTAGTCTGAACATATCCAAACTCTGTAAATAAAACCTAAATTCATAAATGATATTCATCAGTGCACCACAAAGCAAAGTGAAAACAAGCCGTCATTGATTTTTGTACTTTTTGTAGTAATCATTACTTTCAGTCTGTGAATCATTCCTAATTTTCCTCAACAAAATGTAGGTCTGTGTATGTGACGACAGCCAACCTAATGCAAACGCTAAAAACCATGCATTCTTGGCTTGCAACATTCTTGCTGCAAGTTAAACCGTAGCCTATTAACAAGCTATTTCTCCACCATGTGTTCTCTATAATCAGACAGTGAGATTTTAAGAACGGTTAAAAACAGTAATCACGGTGCACCACATCCTGTGCCGGGGAGGACACCCCTCGGGCTGAATGCTGGCGGGAGGGATGACTCTTTGTGCGGGCACACACTCAGCAGCCCAGAAGAGAGACAAAAAAGGCAACTGTAGGCGAGTCAACATTTAAAATATTCACCAGGTTTTCATGCATCTTTAATAGCACAGTTCCAAAGCAAATATATCCACCAAGGCAGGATTAATACCTATCCCAACGGCTTTGAAACCACCACTGGACAAGGTTCACTCAGCCTCGCTCAAAGGCTGGCCTCAGGCATTCAGAAAGGGCCAATGCAATATTACAAAAACAAAGACTTGTGTGCTGAAGGTATATAGGGTCCGAACTATAGTCAGCCATAATAAAATGTTGACACTTGGCAAAGTCCAATTAGAGAGGGCCTCTTTGTCAGCTAACTCAAGCCCAGTTTCCTGCCACCTGAATAGGAGTTCAGTCCACTGATATCTGCCGATCACTTCCTGAAAGTGCCGGTCCTCACAGCCCCTGTCTTTCTGTAGTCGGTGTGTTGCCTCCCACCGCTTGTTCGTTTAGCTGTTGTGCAACAGGAAAGCTGTTTTAGTGCCAGTTTGATGTGGAGGCAAGGACACTAGGATAGGACTACTAAACAATTTAGGTCTGTTCATTTATTTAAAGTCGTGGTATCATCTAGCCTGTATTTTCTCCACTGAACAACCGTTTACATACAGATCAGGAATATATTAGCATCATCCTAAACGTGCAAAAGTTATTCTACCGCATTTGACTTACGATTCAATCAAAAACACTGAGCTGAGCTATATTTACCCTCACACTGAGCAAGCAAGATCAAATGTACAAAAGCGAGATCTAGTCACAAGTTGAGAAAGTGACTCCATTAACAGCTGCAAGACACTTAATGACAAAGGGGATTTTAGAGTGGAAGCACCATTTCATTAGCCTGACGTGGTGCATACTCAGATTCTAGTCAGAATGCGAGTCTGATACTGCTCCATTGGGCTATGATTATGGGGCGTGTTTCAATCGAACCAGGAAAGAAAAGGCCTCTGCACTCGATTGGATAGACTTTTCTTCTATGGAGGAATCTACTAGGGCTGGGGTAAACGATTATTAACTAAACGATTAGTTGGGCGATTATTTTATCGATTAGTCGACTAATCTAATGACTAATTGGACGACTAATAAAAAGAATATTTTTTCTGCTGCTCAATTAATAAAAAAAAAACAATATCTCAAATAAATACTAGCATACTGAATCAAGATACTATAAGCTGGCTAACGTTAGTCTAATGTTATGTATTTGAACACCATCATTATAACTCTACAACCCCCAAAACCGTGTTATTAAAATATTTTTTACAAACATTTTTATCATAGAGAATGTTTAAATATTAATATCAGCTGAGGAGGGAAACGGAGGCGGAGTTAGTGGTGCGATCGGAGGCTGCCTACTGATGGAGATGAATCGGGAGAGGTTTGTGCACCTACTGATCAGAGCGCGTGCTGACACGGAGTAAAGCCTTGTTTATACTCGACACGTCCGCACGAGCGCGAATGTGCGCATGGCAAAAATGACGCGTTGGGTGCGCAAGACCAGGAAGACTGTGGCTGGCTGTGTGTAACAGCGCGCGCCGCGTCCGGGAACGACTTCAAGCCGAATCTGCCCGAGCTTGTACGTCTCACCACACCGGCACCCAGTTTGCGCATCTAAATTGCAATTTTTTTTCTTAAGGGTTTGTTTACTGTGTGTGATTCATTTAATGGATAGCACATTCACTTCTAGTTGTCTTTGTCCTCTATTCTGCAATGTTTCAGTCTCCCACGTGAGTGTGGCAAGCTGGACCGCCGGGAACATGCAAAAAATAAATAAATAAAGAAGCGTCGACGCAAAAATATGACGTCGACGCAATTTTGACGTCGAATCATCGACGTGCCGCTACAGCACTAGAATCTACACATCTTAATTCTCCAACAGTAGCCAGCTTTGTTGTAAACTAATTCAACCCAATCGCTCTTTTGTGACGTGGATGATTACGTTGGGGTGGTGATGGCGCAGTGGATAAGACACATGCCTTTGGTGTGAGAGACCCGGGGTCGAATCCTCTGTGAGACACCAATGTGTCCCTGAGCAAGACACTTAACCCATAGTTGCTCCAAGAGGTGTGCGACCTCTGACATATATAGCAATTATTATTGTAAGTCACTTTGGATATAAGTGTCAGCTAAATGAATAACTGTAAATGTACGTTACTGTTGATCATCTGTCCATCATTGTATAAAGCCCACCCTGACATTTTGATTGGTCCGAACAGCTCTGGTTTGAGCATAGTTGCTCCACAACCGAATCAAGTCCAGATCGAGCTTCCTGACCTCAAATGTTGTGGGCGGGGCTAAGTTCAGCTGGCATCCAGGCTATTATTTCATTCACTTCTTGTTATTGTCCAGGATGTTTGGGAAGTGTGATACAGGGCAAGCATCCCCACAGTGGGTGAATGACTGAGCACTCAGTATTACAATTGTTGCCTCAATTGTTACAGTGTGGTGGAGGTTTGTCCAGCCTGCATTTTGCCAATATAGCACATTAGCTTGATCCTGAATGGTTATCTACAGTATATAAACTGGAAACTAAAAGCTATTACAGGAAAATAAAAAGAAACTAAGATATATGTTGGAAACTAATGGTAACTTTCTCTCATACGTAACGGACTGATATATATTTATAGCAGCCTTTCAAAAACCATGAGCACATGAAATTAAAACAGTTTGATTTAAGTCAAGCAATCTGTTAAGCTTGTTTGATGAAGAGGATGTAGCTTATATTGCACTTCAGTTAGTCATCTATAAAGATCAGTCTAAAAATAGTGCACAGATCATGTCGACTGGCTTTGCTTAATCCAAACACCAAATCATTTCACCAACAACCTTACAGCAGTCTAGACACCACAAACATATTTCAGATGTTCGCACAGTCAGGGGTTGTTGCCGTGCGTTTGGGAAACTGACACGTCCTGTGGTGTTAAATATTATACTCATTCTAAAACCATTTGAAAACATTTAGCTAATTATTATGCATTCATCTTGTATGACTTCATATTGAAGCAAGCTACATCTTATTGGTGATTGTAAAACAAATTTAGGCTAGGCTACATATCATTCCTCTCAGGCGGAAAACCTCATATTTTTAAAATAAACACTGTGACAAAGTTATTAGTTTGTAAAGGCAAGAATAATGACCAATACCATTGCTTTTTAAAAATAAAATAAAACAAATATATATAACCAATATATTCTTAAAAATCTCCATGGCGCACATGACAGCAATGATGGAATTGTCCATCTGTACTTGAAGAGTTCAGATGCAAAAGTGCCATTTGAAATTTTCTTCTAGAATGATCATTTTTATCAAGCTTGTATATTTAAGTTCAGTGATTTCACTTAAATGGCAATGATAATTACCTATTAATTGTTATTTAAGTGAAATTACTGAACTTAAATATACAAGTTTGATAAAAATCATCATTAAAGAAGAAAATTTCAAATGGCATTTAGAGGCTTTTGCATTTGAACTCTTCACTTTTACTTAAGTATGGTTTTCAAGTACTCTTTACACCTCTTGTTAACTTCCACATGCATTAACTAGGCTACCCATTAACATGGATTGAATACATTGAAAAAAATGAATGCAAAAAATAAATCTTAAAATGCAATTTTCCTTACACATAGAAAGTAGTTGTAACTATTCCATAACCACAAACCTATCCTCAAATTATTATAAAGATTTTTCCTTAAACTTAAGATAGTTTCTTAAAGTTTTAAGAAACTATACATGACATGACAGGTGATATTCTAAAATCCATGAACACAACCATTGCACCTCAAGTATAGCTGATAACAATTAAAGTACTCAAAATTGTTTACAGACAATAGACAATTTAAGGACAAAACCAACAAAATCTGAAAATGTCATTTCTATTATATCTATTAATATCAAAATATATATGCAATTGCTATAACTAGGTATAATCCGCTGGAATTGAAAATAATGTAGTTTCATCTTCAGTCTAAATTAACTTCAATATACAGGAAAATAACTGAAGGAAGTTACATCAATAGATGTCACAACCAAACCCAACTAATCTCGAAGCAAGACTAAGGTTTAGGCAACGTCATTAAGTTAGCCAACTGCTCTAGAAATGTCCAAAGCCACAAAGTTGACTATTTGAAAATGTACTGTTCATATTGCAAAACCATAGCTAATATTTCACTTTGTTGAATGTCCATTTAGTCATCTTTTCCCCCCAAGAAATAAATTAAAAGATTTATAGTTTGAAGGCAGGTTGCTATATTTTAAGTTTGAACAGACATAACGGTCTCTACAAATAATTAAAGCACTATCATGGCAGGAGATTTTTGTTTATGAGCCTGAAACCTAACACATCTCATTAATAATTCTGCATCCTCATAAACAACATCTGAACATGCAAGCCATGTTCAAAACAATAAGAGTGGTATACACCAGGCATAACAATTTATATCCCAAGTATCCATTTAGCCAATCTTTATAACAACTTACAGTTATTTGTCAATATGACAGCCTTTTTTGTTCATGCATCTAGTGGAGCAGCAGCTAATGGGTAGTATGACAATGTCATTTAACTCCCATGTCTTCCTATTTCCTGGTCACCTGGCCAAGAATTAAAGGCAAACAATGGCCAAGACAAGAGTTTCAAAACATCAACAGAGACCACTTCCTTCCATCCAGCTATTCTTGCTTTCAACCTTTGTCACACAGGGCTGGGTGTCAGTCTGAAGTTTAGTTTGAGTGACAGCACTTATAAATGCCAATAGCATCCTCTCAGTTGCTTCTGAGATGGAGTGAAGAGGGAGATCTTTGTTGCACCCAATGAGAGCGGAATGCTATTTTAAGACACAGGAGTGCAGGAGCTTTGTTCAAGAGTTTAATTTATCATACAGCTGTCAAACTACAATCGTTTAAAACTAAATCATGTCTGCAAACAGTAACTTTGACATCCATTTTGAAGACAAAAAAAAACAAAATTAATAATGACAATAGTAAATATTTGAAAAATCTCATCAGATTAGGTCTGTTCAATTATTTAAAAAATACAATATGCAACAGTATGTACCGTAAATGTGTAACCAGCAAGAAGCCTTCAAATTATACAATCCAGTTTTTCAGTGCTGCTTTATGGAAACCAGAGTGTAGCCTATATGCTTAGCAAACTTCGTGTGTGCTAAAAGTACGAAATATATGAAAATGGTCTGAGAGGGGGGGACAGTAAAGTACAAGTGCCCTTCATTTCAGTTTTTAACCAGATGGTGCACATATGTGAAAAATCCCTTTCAAGTTATCCAGAATTATTAGACAAATATGAAAATACAGCAATCAGTAGCATGCCTAAGATTTTAATAAAATAACAACTCATGAAGAAGAAATCACATCCATGCACACCATCACTGAATTTAAAACTAGCACGATTCCTTGTTTCTCCGGAATTAAAAACAGGTACAAATGCATGATAATGTTTTAGAAAATACTCACTTGAATCTTCCCTGGCAGTGTTGGCATTGGTCACCAACCCATCCACGATCACAGACACAAGATCCGTTCACACACCTGCCTGACAGACAGTTCTTCTCACAGGGTTTAGATGGAGAGCAGTCTGATATCAGCACCAAGGAGAACATCACACAGAGCCATAAATATCTCTGCATGCCCTGCAGTCTCTGTCGGACCATAAACAGCTCAGGTCTGAGCATCCTCTTCCCGGCATTCATGGTTTTAGGATGCTGCGCTGTTGAATTGGGTATCAATATCTTAGGGCCTTTCTTCCCTGCTTACTGGTGGCCAGATTGTTTCAATTATAACAGCAGGGGAAACCGTTCACTTATAGATCATGCATATTCCTTAAACATCAGCGATAGTATCCCGAAATCTAGGCAATCGTTTAAAGGAAAACCTCCAGATCCGAGCGTGATAAGACAAAATCAGCATAAACACAGGCATATTAAATCAACTGTCTCGCCTCATTGTGTTCCAAACAAGAGCAGGAATTTCCTACGTTACCTCCTGCAGTTACAGGGCTGGAAAATAATTCCCCATAACATTGAAAAAAACCTTTCCTCCCAGACCATTACCATAACTCAAGAGATGTGGTATTTCCAGCTTTAAAGCATCATATTATTCAACGGTCTTATTCTGATCCCGTCCGCAGCCATTTTAAAGCGTAAACATTCAGCTGGCTGCTCTAATACACAGCTGGTGTGCTTTCAAGCCTTCAAACCTTGAGCTTTTCGTGGCTAAACGTTCATATGCCACGTGAAAACAAGCTAAATGAAGAAGACTTCTGAAGAAAAAGCATCCTTTATGATCGCAGCAGTGAGTAACATGGATGTTGTTTCTGCTGTTGTCCGTTGCGCTGAGGGATTTGGAAAACCTGGGCAACTCTCCGTTATTCGCATTTTTTTTTCGCTATTTCTTAGGCTCAACGTGACAAACTCCTTGTAAAAAGTGTCGCCCCTCAATATAGATATATATCCTCTTCGTCCCAGGTCGCCGAAACCCCCTCAGCGTGCGAATTTTGGCCCCCTCGACCAGCGTTTAATATCCCATAGTACGAGCAGCTCGCGCTGGCTTGCTGCTCCTCAGGTTGGAGCAAACTCAACACGGAGATGTCCGCGCATGCGCATTGGGAAGGGGATACATTTAAAGAGACAGAGGGACTGTGTGTGCATCCTTAAGAATGCCCATTGCAGTACTTGAGAAGCTTCATTAAACAGTTTGTGTTATATTTATAAAGAAATGTGTGAAAGCCCAACATTTCCCATGTAAAAAAAGTTGATTGTATAGTATAGTATGTGGAACATTGACAGTCAGTCAAGACAACAAGATGGCAAGCACTTCTAAGATACAAGATTATTATTGCTTTACCTACAACGTGCAATGTAACAATTGCTGAGGACAGTCCAATGTGCTCCAGTAAATGTAAAATTAAACAAAAACAACGTGCTAAATGAGAAGCCTACTTTATCCTAATTCTAAATTAGGATTCTACATCCCTACTAACTAGGTTTTATGACCCAGATTCTCTTCACATTTTAAGCCTCCATCTTAAATATGTACTTTTGCTCTTCTCTTAAGCATAGGTGCATATTATGCCCTTATATGCCAGCTGCTCTTTAGGTTCCTTTATTAATCACTCTTTTATGCACCACAAATATATGATAGCTATTGTTGTAAGTAATAAAAAGCAGGGATGTATCTCATGCAGTGTGATCACTATCTTTTAAAGTTTGTAGGATTGTTTTAGTGTGTGTGTGTATATACACTCACCTAAAGTATTATAGGAACACCATACTAATATTGTGTTTGACCCACTTTAGCCTTCAAAACCGCCTTAATTCTACGTGGCACTGATTCAACAAGGTGCTGAAAGCGTTCTTTAGAAATGTTGGCCCATATTGATAGGATAGCATCTTGCAGTTGATGGAGATTTGGCACGAAGCTCTTGTTCCACCACGTCCCAAAGATGCTCTATTGGCTTGAAATCTGGTGACTGTGGGGGCCATTTTAGTACAGTGAACTCATTGTCACGTTCAAGAAACCAATTTAAAATGATTCAAGCTTTGTGACATTGTGCATTATCCTGCTGGAAGTAGCCATCAGAGGATGGGTACATGGTGGCCATAAAGGGATGGACATGGTCAGAAACAATGCTCAGGTAGGCCCAATTGGCACTAAGGGGCCTAAAGTGTGCCAAGAAAACGTCCCTAGACCATTACCCCACCACCACCAGCCTGCACAGTGGTAACAAGGCATGATGGATCCATGTTCTCATTCTGTTTACGCCAAATTCTGACTCTACCATCTCAAACCAGGAAACATATTTCCAGTCTTCAACTGTCCAATTTTGGTGAGATCTCGCAAATTGTAGTCTATTTTTCCTATTTGTAGAGGAGGTACCCGGCGGGGTCTTCTGCTGTTGTAGCCCATCCGCCTCAAGGTTGTGTGTGTTGTGGCTTCACAAATGCTTTGCTGCACACCTCGGTTGTAACGAGTGGTTATTTCAGTCAAAGTTGCTCTTCTATCAGCTTGAATCAGTCAGCCCATTCTCCTCTGACCTCTAGCATCAACAAGGCATTTTCGCCCACAGGACTGCCGCATACTGGATGTTTTTCCCTTTTCACACCATTCTTTGTAAACCCTGTGCGTTAAAATTCAAGTAACTAATGCATATTGTGAAATACTCAGACCGGCCCATCTGGCACCAACAACCATGCCATGCTCAACCTTTCTTTCCCATTCTGACATTTAGTTCAGAGTTCAGGAGATTGTCTGGACCAGGACCTCACCCCTAAATGCATTGAAGCAACTCCCATGTGATTGGGCGATTAATTGCATTAATGAGAAATTGAAAAGGTTATAATCCTTTAGTTGAGTGTAGAGATATATCAGTGGCTAGGGTGTTTTTTTTTCACCATACAAAATATAACATATTCATGCATAAATCTGCCTGTTGTTATATATGCATGCAATAAAACACTCAGTTCAGCTGGGAATTTGATATTCACACAGACAATTGCTGGGTCTTGCGATGACTCTCACACCTCAGACTTCCCTTTTTAGATCATTCCCGTCACAACAGCCCCATTCAGTCAGGCACTGAACAGAATAACAGAAGAATATAACACTGCATTATAATCGCTGACTTAAGGAAGAGAACTGTATGGTTAAAATACAAGGGTATCCATTCTATTAAGCTAAAAAGCACATTTAAAGTAAAAAGAACAGCATTCGACACTTTTTCATAAACAATAATAATTTAATTTATCTGTGCTACACCTATTTAATATTTATTTCCAACTTTTACATTTACACAATATATGAACATTGCTTCCTCACACATTCACTGCTACATTCTTTCATGGCCCCACTGAGAAACATGACACTTTATCCTCAGACCTTCAGGAATGAAAGAATCAGATCCTCAGGCTAATAGCTGATCCGCACATTGACAGCACATGCATGTCCCAGCCTGTCAGAGAGCACATGTGTCAGTGATCCGCTGTAGTAGGTTAACCATATATTGGCATGTGCAGAAACACAGGTGATTTACAATCGATTGGCCTGCACATCAGGCATACCATAAATCCTTCTATAAACCAAGCACCATAGTGCCCCCAGGTGGTAAACCTTTAAATATATGGTATAGCTGTCCTAATCTCTGTGAATGACAACTACTCATGCTATTACATACACACAGCTCTGTTTCTAAAGTCAAAGCTATAATGCACTGTTACGTTCTTTTGTTCTTCATCTGTTCAGTTCAGTTTCATGTGGTGAAAAATTGTGTTATGAGCAGAAGGTAATTAAATATTATTAAATTATCTGAGGCAATGCAGATATCTATATTGACTCGTGAGGAGGTGGGGGTTGTATTTCACACAGCGATTTCTTATGATTTCTCTTTGTTCTTAATGCCATTAGTATGGGTGGACACAGAGACTGGGAGCAGAGGAGTTGAATCTTAATCCCCGACTAAGAGGGATTAGTATCCAAGTACACTCATTGCAGACATTAAAAGAGTCTAAAAAACAGGTTCGGCAATAGACTATCATATTGCTTTAGATATCAGTGTGTGATGGTGCATATTTCTTTCCTATCTGAAATCAATTTTAACTAAACATTTTTAATAATGTTTTTTAGTTTTGGTTTAGGTGTACGATTATAAAACCACTAAATTAATACTTTCCCTTAAATGGATAGGAACATAAAAATACTATAAAACCGACAAATTTTGACAGTATTTTAAGATTTTTTACAAAGGAAATTAATTTTTCATTTCAGGTAAGCATTCAATTGATCAAGGGTGACAAACACTTCTACATTGTTACAAAGGATTCCTATATCAATAAACAGAAATATCATTGTTCTATTGAACTTTATATTCATTAAATATTTCTGAAAAAAAAAAAAAAACATTATCCATAAAAAAAAAACAACATTATAGGCACAATGTTTTCAACAGTGAAATACCCTGAACACTGGAGTATTGAAGCTGAAAATTCAGCTTTGCATTCACAGGAATAATTTACATTAAAAAAAGAAAATAATTATTTTAAATTGTAATATTTCACAATATTAATATTTGTATTTTTGCTCAAATAAACACAGCCAACTGCAACCTTTTATTTAGCAATTTATTGCTATTTCCCAACTCAACTTCTCAACTTTAATAGCTTGTCAATATGTGATAAAAACAATATAAAGAAAAGAAAAGCCTAGTACTTACATCACTTTTGGGCTTACATAGTTAAATAATGAGAGTGCCAACTGGTGTTTGTCAAAACAATATCAGTTCAGTTTTAACTTTAACTAAAAATCTAAATAATGATCATTTATTTCTTTTGGCACCATGGACTAGTTAAGTGGCCTTAACATTGAAATAATATAACAAAACAAAAATGATACTGATACTGGTTTAAATTTCATAAACTTCAACACATTGACACCACCTGTGTTATCCATAATTACAAGTACCATATATATATGGCCATGCAAATGGATGCACAGGGATAGTGAAAGAGACCACATCGAATCAAAGCAGACCAGGCAATATCCAACAATTCTCTCACTGAGAATGTAATTTGTGTATCAGATGGGCAATTTCATCACCTTTTAGTCACTGTTGTGATCTCCATCATCACCCTTAGATTCAGATGGGCCAGGCTTTTGCTTTGATTTTGCTTTCTTGGCATTCTTTTGTTGCTCTGATGGA